CAAATGTACAACACATTGTCTCATACTACTAAAATCTGGATATCTTGGATTCATCATAGTTATTGTGTTATTGTAAGTTTAACATCATCATCTTTTCTGATATCATACAGGCTAAAGAACAGCTTCATTCGTTGTACGATTTTGTTTTACTTATACCATAAAGTGAATTATTCAATATGTAAACTATGAATGTAATTGTTTAAGGGGTAACCGGTGACAATCAATTGGCGATTTTCCAAAATTCATGTAAAAGGGCTTCAGTTGAAGAGTGATGTGATAATTTCGCTTTTTTAAATAATCATTTTGTTTACTAACATAGAGGGTTTGTAGAGATTGTGGAGTTCTGTGGTGTACATGAAGAAATGACTATATTTAAGCTTCTATTGAAAGCCGGGAAGCACTAGACACCTGTTTCGTCCTAGTATGGGACTTCTTGACAGTCTTATCAAGATCAGTCTATCATGTTAACTATAAGTTTAGTTTTTCCTAGTAACAATTAAACAAGCTTTCTTGACGATGTCTATGCAGAGTTTTGACACTCATTCTTCCTTTGAATGTCGAGTGGTATTCGTTGATAATGCAAAACTGGAAAGTACATTTGAATTTGTTGGAACAATGAGCCAGATAAATTGTCCTTTAACGAATTCCGACCGAAGTTTCAAGAATATTTGATAATTGTTAATCTGCTTCTCATTGAGCTTATAGACTGTTTCACGGGTATTATACTACTTGCTCCATATAGCTCAAAATTGCTAATACAGCTTTCGCCAATCGTCAAATTTTTCTGCTGTTCTATCATGGTAGTTCAAATCCAGGCTGGTATCTTATATAGAGTTTATTTTTGTATCATCACCGTATTATTATTTGTTTTACATGAGTACTTTTCTGGTGACCTTGGTTTATTAAAATAGAAATAAAGTACAACAAAATTGAACTGGTTTATGTACTACTACACAGTAAACCATAACATAACATAACTGAAAACATGACAATTCTATACATATCTAATTTCTAATTAACTAACATCGTAAACATATACTTTTCAATCTTACAGAACTTCTGTCCGGCAGTTAAATATATAATTGAAGTAATCTTTTTTCGTAAAAAATCTCGAATACGTTGAAACCCTAAATGTTTACGTAGACTGGATCAACTTTAAAACATTTATGTTTCATAATAGTTAAAAATGCGTTTAGATCATACAGGTTAATTTAGTCATTCAAAATGTAGAGAATATCTAATTCAGTCTAACTCAGTAGATATTTGAAATTTATAACTGATGATTTCATGAAGATACATTAATAGAGAATAATTTTGTACTCAGGCATAATAACTGTTTCCTGTAATCTGTAGAGAAAAAAAAACGAAATTATATGTCTACCTATCAGTAGTTTAATAATTTGGTTTGTATACATTGTGATTAGATTTTGGGAATAGTTTCCGGTCTTTATATATATACCAGATAATTTTCATTGATGATCTGTTATCTTCTGTTGGTATTCATTTTATCCTTTCTATTGTTCATGAATGATCATAACAAATGGTTGATAATTAGGGACAATCAGTTTGTTTTTAGAGGGAAAATAGTGTATTATTAATTTATTAGTTCTCATGTCAGTACTATTATTATTATTATTATTATTATTATTATTATTATGATTATAACTATTTTACCTCTGGTAGTAGTAATTAGTTTAATTATTTTCTTTCCATGTAAATGAAGGGTTTGATCCAAATTCCAGGTGCAAGGGATTATATCTATCTATCTATCTATCCATCCATTCCGTATTTAGATTAACAGGTGTACGTATTACACATAGACGTTTACTGTGTGGAGAGAACAATTTATCATTTTATCTTTTCCGTTTGTAATTTGTTTCTTTTTTTTCGAAGTTTATGGAAAGCAAACAAATAAATAAACAAACAGTGGTAGTCATAATAAATGATAATCGGTGAAAAAAATTCATGGTTTCCTCAATTATATTCACTTTAATGCTAATACTATCATAAGCAAAGTATACTATGTGTTTTGTAACTAAGTGACTGTAACAATATAATAATTGTTACTATTGTAGAGTTTCGCTTGTCAAATAGATGAAGATTTGTCAAACCATATAACAATAGAAAGATGATGTTGAGAACAATTGTAATGATAATAATCAATAAGGAGAAAGTACTAGAAACTGGACAAAATAAAGTCAAAGAGTGCCGAATTTTAATTATGGTTTATTTTTTTTTATTCTTTACCTTCTGTACACATGATGAAATAATCAAATTTCTAATCACTTAACATCAATTAAATGTTGTGATATATTATCAGTAGTTTCAAGATGATCATAGGTATATATCTTTTCATATTTTATTTCTTCTTTGATTTATAAGCTTACTTTATTCTATTTTAATATTAGTCAGGATTGGACTGTGTAGTTTACAAATATTCACTGATTTATGTCCTGTAATGACTTTTTACTCAAAATTAAAATGATAAGATACTGGAGAGTGTTTGTTAAAAATTTTGTTGTATCGCTACAAGCTAATTGAATTTAGGAATACAAACACTAATTGGTTTGAACTCAGCAACCAAACATTAGGCGCTAATAGAGAAACTCAAAAAAATTGTGAATTTGATTTTGAGTAGTGATAAAGAACTAAAAACTATGACAATACAAGTAATTAATGATTATCAGTTTGTGATTAAAAGTATCATCAAACTACATGAACTTTTACAAAATACTTGATTAAGTAATAACCAATTGTTTATTTACTATGTCTGCTGTAAATGTCTTTTTTTAATAAGTATACGATAAATGCTTAAATAAAATATTAATTACGGGTTACTTTAACATTCACTAATGGTTTCACTACTGACGTTATACTAATGATATAACAATTAGAATCTTTTCAATACTGATCAACGATGAAATCCTCTATATTAACGATTAAAACACGTCATTTTTTCCACAGTTAACTCCTTTATTTTAGACAACAGATGCATTTCAGAATGATGAAGTAATTTGGCATTTGATGCTTGCGACTATAATAAATAAACTAACGGGCAATGTTGAGTACTCTTTTGTAATCGCGTGTTTTTCTTCCTACTAGCTTGCAGGATTTCAACCAGTTTTCATAGTGTAGTCATTTTTGAACAATCGATTATTGTCAGTCTTGATCACGTTTACTAGAGCAAAATAATGTAAAATAATCTAATTTAGTAGACTTAAGTCATCATATTATTCCGTTCATTTCCTCAAACCTTAGTGAATATTAATCAATAGTTGACATTATGGCGTCGATAGCCTTATATCATATGTAATTTATCAATTAGCATTATGTAAATGTTTTTGTGGCTACTACTCGGTTTCTATCATTTGTTTTGTATTTGTAATAATATCCTCATACTTTTTCATTTTATAAATAGACAACTTTCATTGATGACATATGTTAGTTTATGCATAAATTATATCTGACAAAGATTGTGAACATTATGTTAGATGTGATGTAAAGCAAGACAATACTTCCTATTTAGTTAGATGAAATTAGTTAATGGCATATGTAGTAAAAGCAGTAAGTACGTTGTTTATTTTTTATTGATTATGATAAAAGCGCATAATTGGGTCAGTTATTAATGAACTAATTTGATTGTTGTAACGTTTGTTCATCTATATATTCAATAATAATTTCATAACTTGTACAACTTGTTTATTTATCATCTGAAGAGTTCATTAAAGATGTAATATACCCAAGTATAATCAGTAATTTTTTTGATGATGACAGTTTTATGGATTGTTTTTAGAAAAATTCTTTAGTTGTAAATATATTATTACTTATTTTTATGATTGATAGGATTGTCTTTTTTAAATTCATTTTTGTATTACTTGTTTGGATCTTCCCATTGATGTTTGGGACTGCAATTGGTCAGTCTCTTATTGACATATGTGCATCCTGTATAAATTTCCTGAATATTACCTTAAGTCACAAGCTTTATAAGCAAAGATGGATGGTTGCTGCAGTGCAATCCAGGACGTGAATTTCGTCCGGCTTGGGACTCGTCAGCTTTATGTACCTTCATCATAACGTTGACATCCACTCCTGGACCCAACTGTACAACCTAGTGGTTATCTGGACTCAGCAACCAAGTGAATAACACGATGGCGTTTGAAGCGACTGGCATCGAGTTCGAATCCCGGAGAGAACATCATCTGACGAGTATCAAATAGGACGAGACTTTCGTCTTGGATTCCGCTGCTAGGCACCATCTATCTCTGTCTATTTGTCATTTTTGTTTTGTAAAGCAAATAGTATAATACAACAAAATACTTCAGTTAATTTGTCATCTTTCAGTATTATACATATTTACACAATGTAAATGTTTCTGGAGTCCTATTCTGTTTCTAAAAAATATATCATAAAACCTAATTATTTTGTTTAAAAGGTTATAATTGTACAACTGTTTATTCTTATACGGAGGAAAATTATTTATAAAATGAGTCTTTTTTTTCTTATCATCAGAAGCGAGGTTTGTTTCATACACTTATTAAGCGGAGTTTATAAATATAATGTAAACTTACTTTGTCTGTTTCGGCTAAATAAAAATGACTATTCATCAGACTTTTTTTTTGAAATTCAGTATATTTGCAAAAAGTTCAGTAGTCCTAAATATTGAAACTCTAACTGATTAGTAAGATGTTTGTAACCAACATCATCATCGTGAATAAACCAACAGAATAATTTAATAAAAAAAGAAGATCCTATCACTAAAAAGAACCATGTATTTGTTTAGTACAAATATTAATATGAGTTAATACTAGTTCTAATCAATAGCATATGTTTCTTTAGTGATCAACTTTAAACGTTGGAATTGTTTTGTTAAAACCTTTCTGAATACTATCAATTACATATAACTATGATTGAATTTTCTATAAAATTGTAAACAAATAATTGGGTAAATTTTACGATTTTTCCATTTTTTCGGTATTAATTTTCTTCTTTGTTGTTAAAAGGATGAAAAGTTGACTGCACAAATTCAAGAAAAATCTGGCAAATCATGGGATCGTATTGTGACAATATGCAGTGGTTTAGATTTGGTAAATATTAACTACACTCATATGGTAGCTAAAGATGCTGAAACTGCTTCTGTAAGTGTATTGAATTATTTAAACGTTGAAATTTTATTATAAAGAAGGAAAGGAAGTTATTTTATCAATGACAATGATCATTTTTACCGCTTCAAATATTTTAATTCCATTAAGTTTAGTTTAATATACATACAATTGACTGGTTAAGAATGTTTAACTAACAAAAAATATAGGTCTACTGTTTCTTATTCATATAAAATTCCTAATGATTAGAAAAAGTCTAATAAGAATAATATAATGTAGAAATAATGGAGTATTTAAATATCGTTGTTCAGTTTAGACTTGGCAATTTCAAGAGATTAAGGGTTCGCGCGCAAGACCGATAAGTCCTGGGTTCGAAGCTCGCGAGGCGGGATCGTGGATGCGCACTTTTGAGTAGTCCCACAATAGGGCGAAACAGCCGTCCAATGCTTCCATGTTTTCCATGGTGACTCTTGATCTTAACTATTAAAATTTCAAATATATTGATGATTGCTTCAACATAATGAACTATTATTTGTAGACTGTCTAGTCAAAAGGAATTCTAATGGAAATCTACAGTTAATCATCTATTGAGAACTGGCACATTCAAGTTGATACACCAACTTTACACATATAAATCTCTTTATTATCTTGAAGAAATATAAAAATAGATTGTTTCATAATAATATGATTTCATTTAGTTTATCTAAATTCTCATCAGATGCTTACAATCTGTGATATTTTCAAGGCAAAATTATCATAGAAATTGACATACTCATAAATTCGAAGGTGAACTGAGATGAATATTTTCATCATTATGTAGTAAAGATCCCAATAAATTTAATGAGCTCTTAAAACGCTTTAACTCCCCACATCCATTCAGTGCAAAAACTTTTTATGGCTCTAAATCTATTTACAATAGCTATCAATATCATTACCAAAAAAGATAAGCTAATGGAATAAAATAATATAATAAACATCTTGTGATTTATTGAAACGAATTGATCTATCTCCAAATAATAATTCGAATGAAATATCGTGGATTGATATCACAGAGTTTACTTTATTGCCATGTTACAACAAATGGATTACAACTTATATTGAAATTACACAGAAATAAAGCTTTTTATAACCAAACTCTTTCGTCCGAGTAGAGGAAGGATCATTTTTTCTACACAATTGCGTCAACATATTGCGCTGGGTCGAGTATGATACATTGTATATTATGGAGTCTTTTTATGACTCACACTTAGTGACAGCTTTCCCTGCACAAGAAAGACTTCTTAATATTCCTGTAGAATTGGAAAATCGACAATAGTCATTCATGCTATTTTTAAGAACCACTAAATGGATATTGAGAATATCAAAATAATTCAGGGAGGTTTTTTACCATGATCAAGAAAGCCGAATATGTGAAACGATTCATTTGATGCTTAGTCCCTGTGCTCTTAATATAAAGGATGTCCTGATTATCCATTCAATTTGAACCGTTTATCCGGACAACCACATTAAATTTTACTTCCTTCCCATAGCAATAGTAAACATACACATTCAAATTTCAATTCTACTCCTTCGCATTACAAATTCCCTATTTTACACACGCACTAGCGTACGCACAAATACACACAGTTAATGTCTTACAAACAATCACCGTGACCATAAATGATTTAGCATTGCTATAATCAAATGTAATTTGATTTTTCACTATGTGGTTGTGGATATTGCTCAATTTCACTGGAATCATGATCCGATCTAAGTTGAACCACCATTGAAAACCTGAAAGCACTGGAGCTAAACCGTATCAATTATTAGGCAGTTATACACCGAAGACAATAGACAATCATCGCTCATTTTCGTTGATTGATTGAATTTAGACATTAATGCTGTTGTATACGGGCTCAGTGGTGTAGATGTTAATCATTCGCGCGAGACCTAAGGTCCTTTGTTTGACTCTCCGTTATATGGTCTTAGGTGTGTGCTTGAACGAAACTTCTATCCAGTGCCTGCAGATTTTCAATGATTGGCTAACCTAGATGGGTGCATGATTTCAATGTTATTTGATTTTGATTTTGAATGGACCAAATATTCTGCCTGTTCCTCTATACAATTTAGTGTTGAGTTTATTGAATTTAATTATTTACACTTAATCATTTATTTATTCTTTATATTACAATGTATGTACGTTTATTATTGGTTTGTTTAAATTTGCTTGCATCCATTCACTTGATAATTAATTGGAATATTTAAAATTATTCAAATCTGTTGATGTGAATCAACACACTGTTTTCTCAAATGATCAACTTAACAATGAGAATATCGGAAATCGCTCATTTTCTTCTAGTTATTTCCACACCTCTGAGTATTGCAGATGATCTATTTTGAATGTCCAATTTTTCTTTGTATTCTATCTATAACTTTGTCTTTTTCTTTTCTTTCCACTATTGATATAAGATTTTAAAAAACAGGTTTTCTATTCTTGCACTCAAATTATTACAATGAATGGTAGTAACAGAACATTCAATCGATACACTAAAATCATTAATTAGATCACTATACTAGATCACTTCCCATACTGACACAAATTTAATCAACAATGAAGAAGCATATACAGTGAAATCTAATTTAGATTAATCAAGTAGATCAGAATCATAATATACGAATTGTCAATTACATCTTTAATTACAGCGCGCCGTATCTGTTTTCGTTCAGTTGTCAATCATTAGCCGAATGAAAATATCTTGAGATATATTTACTTTTTATTTAAAAAATTACCATCTTATTATCTAGTAGGATAAGTCGTATCTATTTTGATATTGAATCAACTTTCGATTATTCGTGTTATTGCAAAAACATAATATCAGTATAGGGTCATGGAGATTGTTAAGTTTTTGATTAAGATCATGAATCGATCGACGTTAGAACATCATTGAAAACTTGGAAACACTGAACGGCCGTTTCATCTTAGTATAGAACTCTTCAGTAGTGCGCGAGACCGAGGTTCCTGGGTTCTAATCCTGCTTGCAGGATTGTGGATGCACACTGCTGAAGAGTCCTATACTAGGACAAAATGGCCGTTCAGTGCTTCCAGGTTTCCAATGATGATCTAACATCAATCGATTTATGGTCTTAAAAAATAGTGTCTTAGAAAAAGAGAGAAACTACCATTCAACTTTGTTTTTCCATTTAACTTTTTTTTATTATCAAACTCAATATCTACAGGAGTTTTCTTTATTAGCAAGTGAAAAATAAGTAGACAATATAGTTGTAGATAATTAATCACATTAAATATTTATTTATTCTTTGTAAAGATCATTATTTGTGTATATCTTTTGTAATTTTTATTCTTTCTGTTCCGTTTTTTGTTGTTGTTGTTGCTGGTTAACTGAATCTTTCATCAAAATCAAATTGATTTGCATAAAATTCTGATAACTTTTTTCTCTTTGCTTTTAATTAATAAAATATACATTATTCCAGTGTGAATTCAAGTCAATTCTGATGAGTGTTTTTTTTCTTCTTTTCTCTTTGTCATATGATTCTTTTCATAGTTGTTATATTATCTAAAAATTTAGTCTACTTAGAAAAAAAAAGTTTTTCATATGTCTATCTTCAGTGTTAATCGGAATAAATTTCAATAGGATTCTGTTGGACTGTGAATTACAAGCATTCATTCAATTTTATAAATATTTTCTTATCATTCATTCAATCAGTCTGTTTTAATCAATGTTACGGTCTGTCATAAATATGCCTTGATCTAAGTTATTATACCATAGTAATTTGACAAGTTGAAATTAACAAGATAAATAACAAAATTATCAAAATAATGTGGTATCAACAATAATAAAAAAGATTCAATATTAGAGAATATGGTAAGGATGTGGTGCGTGCTACTTATGATGATGTAAGTAGTATATGACGCGAGTTAAAAGCGTAATGTCTGTCGGTCGAAGATGGGAGGAGACCAAGAAAGGGGGAGCGAGAACACAATCCGATTTGTAAGAAAACGCATGAACAATGAAATGTGAGACAATGGAATGATGATTCCAACAGCAACAGTCCGGTTTGATATGATGGAATGATATTTTGCAAATTAACGATTTACTATATGGTTTTTCTATTTTACCGGGTAACTCTGTAATTTTGTGCTAGATACATTCGGTTGTCCCCACCCGTGTTCTGTTCACTACAAGGAGATATGGAACGAATCGGTATGTATGAAGGAATACTTAATCATAAAAATGTAGAGGAAGAAAGATAGAAATTGAATAAATCTGCTCGGTTGTTATCAGTCTTGGGTTAAATTACTCAACATCTTCAACCACCAATCTCGATTAACACTTGGATCCAAATGCGACTCAGGTGATTAGGGTGAAACAGTTATTCAGTACATTCATATTTTCAATAGTCGTCTAATTAAACTGAATTCAGGATTTAAACTTTAAAAACTCTGTAATCTTCATAAATTTACCTATATGAAGAATTGGATATTTAGTACAGCTACAATAACAATTAAATAGTGTAGTTGAAATTAATGAATCTCCTGAATAACACTATAGTCGACTTACGAGTTTCTCTTTTGATGAATAATAATAAATTTTCCTCACTGTTTAACATGATATTACTGTAAATGTTAGTTTTAGTTTGTTACTTCGTGTTCAATGTTCAATTTTGTTATTACTATGTGGTCGTTACATAAATTTCACATATTTGTTTTTTTGTTATACTATCAATATCTTTTTAGTTTTGGATACAATCTCTTCGTAGTTTAACGCATAATACCAAAGCAGCTAATGTTTGCCCTATGACTCAATTAAGAAAACAGTAAGTCATATTCATTTTAATTTATTTCTATTGAATGAAATAATGATAATGACTAAATTTTAGTGAGATATTTCGTTCCCAATGTTTTATCTTTACATATAGAGTAAGTAGCTTGATAGTCATTTTGCTATTGTAATGTAGAACATAATTTCAAACAACAGCAACAATATCCTGGATTTATATCATTGATAAGTTATCGTATTCTTATCGACTGAGATGGTTACGATATATGTTATTTATGCCTCACTATCATGTGTCTCGCTGAAGTGTATTTGCTGCTATCAAAGCGGACTTGAAGAAATCTATGGCATTAAAAATAGAAAATCTAGAGTCAGTCTATGAAGTCATTAACTGTTTACTTGAGTTATTTTGGTAAATGTAGACCACTTATTGGGGATGCGAGTGTTAACCGAGATTAGTGGTTGTAGACGTTGAGTGATTTAGCTAAAAATCAATTACAATGGAGCTGATTTATTCAATCTTCATCTTTCTTTCTCTGTATTTTGTGATTCAATGTTCCTTTTTTAAATACCTCTTCATTTCATCTTTCGATTACTGTTATTCTCTGTTCTTCAATTCTATCCTACCATACCTAGACTACTATTCTACCTACACGTGGTTATTATATTGTCGCTTAAACAGTTTCAGTAAATGGATAAGAAATAGCTCATTTACTTTAGTATGTGGTACTGTGTATTGTTTAGATTTTCATTTGACAAAACTGGTTATCCTCATAGCTTTGTAATTAGACTTGTTAATGAGATGTAATTTTTTAAAAATAATACTTCAAGAAGTAATTGAAACTTGTATTGTCATCTCATTATAATCACCTGTGAATATACAGCTAGTTCTGTATCGGGAAGCGTAATTTGTTTTTGTCCTCTCTAAAGAGATTTCAGCTTTACTCTTTAAATTGCATCTTGAAATATAAAATAGTCATTATTGATTGCGTTATGTTTACACTTATAAATGTAAATTTAGAAGTGTGCATCCATGTTTATATTTGTGATAAAAATCGTCTTTTTTTAATTTTTGCAACTATGAATTTGTTTGTTAAAGAAAAATCACTTTCCTATTTTAGTTGGCTACGACTTACACTAACTTTGAATGCTCGTAATCGAATTCCTGTTCGTGTAATTATGAAAACATTTGCCTCAGGTCGTAATGAACGAATTGTATATCAAAGTTTAAAAGATTTAAATTTACCTCATGGAAAGGTATGCTTTAAATTACTTTTTTTGCTTGTTGTAATGATAATGATAATTGTTATTCCTATTATTATTATTTTCAGTTTAGGGCTGTAGAGTTTGTTGAGTTACATTAAAATCTTGAACCGATTAGTATTAGACCACCTTTGGAATTCTGGAAGCGCTGGACTGTCGTTTCATCCTAGAATCCACGATGTTGCTGGACCATTTCTCATTGCCTTCGGTAGATAACTGCCTCAAAACTGACACTAGGACGTAGCGGCTGCCCAGTGCTTCCATGGTTTCAATAGTGCTCTAACATTTGTTCATGGTTTCAATAGAATTGGTATTGTTGTTACTTCTTATTCGTCGTGCTTTTTTTCAAAATTTAGAATGATGATATTGATCCAAATGAATTCCCATTTGAAAAATTCTACGAATTATATCATAAAATATGTCCTCGTACAGATATTGAAGATTTATTTAAATCTCTGTAAGTCTATCTGTCAGTAGATAATTTTTCTCCTTGTTCTATGCTATTATTTGAGTATATTTTCACTATATTTCTTTACTACTTATATTACTGCTACCTTATAATAAATACACTAGAACAATTTAAATTCATCAGACATAGGTGTTATGAACTATTTCAAGTTGAATTTTGTGAATTCATAAATCTTTCATATAATGTTTCCAGTGATCATAAGACGTCATATCGCTTATTATATACCAAGTAAACGTGATTATCCTTTAAAATATTTTTTTTCTTTTTACATTTAAAAACAAAACGTTTTCCCTTTTGGATAATAATTAAGTTTATTGCACTGTAAGCTGTTAACCTATCTTCGACTGACGAAGAATTTATAACTTCCCTAGGGATTACTGCACATAATTACCTTTTTAATTGTTATTTAATACGGTAAATTAGTAGAATTAAATTTTGATCGATCGTTTTCCCTCATTTGTGTGGCGTCATTATTACCAGTTGTTATTTTACTGTCTATCAAATAGTTCACCAACTTTAAAGATCTAAGCAAATTCCCAATTTTTCGTAAATTATGTACTTGATTGATTGTCATGCATATAGTCCTTAATTCTTCCCATGAAGCGCATCTTTCATGATCAAATAAGGTCTGAAATCCACTAGTAATCACCTATTGCTTTTATTTTTCTAATGTTATATGTGATAAATTATAACCTACCATGAAAAGCTATAATTTTTTTCGTTTCGCAAACACGGTCAAATTATCTTTCTAATGCCTCGTAGGTGCTCCGTCAAAATATCATGTTACGAAAATCATTTTCAAACTAATCGAGTTTTTATCCTTCATTATTTAATTGATTAAAATAATTTATATCTAAATTTGTAGCGACTTTCTACTATCACCGACTGTATTACATAGTGTTAGCTAATTAATTATTATACAAAATCGTTTTGATTCGTATACGGTTGGTAAGTGTATTATCATGGTGTACTATTGGTCTCATATTTTCGGATTGATCATTAAATTATAAAAAAACCAAGTTTACTAACGCGCTCTGTCTACGTTATCCATGTCTAGAATAATTGTTGTTAGAATTTTAACATTGTATTAATTTTATTAATTAGGGTAGAAGTTCGTCTTGCTTTATTTTCCCGATTTAGCCTACATCTTGTAATAAAAAACTTAATTATTGATTAATTAATTTATAAAACCGTATTTCAACGATATATAAGTTTTTGCTTATTGGAATGTGCTTGTCTATAAAAATCAACTCTTCACTTCTATTGTTAATCATTTCAATGCTTCTCTTTCGCAATAAAATTATCCAGTTGTCGCCTTATTGTTTTAGCTAATATATATGGATATTTTCTGGTGTTTTATAGAAAATAAGCCGAATTAACAAAAAATACAATTCGTATTCAATTATGAACAAAGTGACTAGTTTAAGATCATTTGAAATACAAAAGTACACTCATGTTAATTGAATCAATTTCTGTATTAATAATAATATACCTTCTTGAATTCTGTTATAAATTTTCCATAAATCCTTTGAATGGTTGATTTGATTTTCACTTTAAATAATTTTATAATTAGTTCGGTTTCTTGTTCATTCTTTCGAAAAAAAGTTTCTTTACATCTTATTCATTTAAATTATGACAACTTCAGCTGATACACGTTTATGCTATACTCGGAATTATAGTTCATTGATCTGATTAAGTGATTGATAACTGGTTTCGGTTAGATTGTAAATTCAACTTTTTATTCGTTTAGAATATTCACCTTTGGAGTAAATTACGAATTAACGACGTTTGCATTTTAATTCTTTTAGAATGACTCTGTTTTTGGCTTTCAATTTATATTGCATTTCACCATCAAAACTTAATATAATTTAATTTAATTAACCGGGTAATAGGATTTCTTTCACTCTCCAACTATTGTATTGTAACATTGGATATATTTTAACTTTAATGAATATCTTAACAAATAATAATAATGAATATGTGACTACAAACGTGAGTATACCTAATTCTATTGAAGTGATCTAACCTATCGAATTCATTGAAAGTTCTTTATATGTTTTTGTATTTTCTTTATGTAGATCAAAAGGCAAAAGTCACATACATGCAGATAAAATGATAGAATTTCTCAATGAAGTAAGTTGATTAGTTAGTAATATTTATGATTGTCTGTTTTAAAAAATTTCTATTGTTGTATTAGATCTTTCTCTTAAGGAAGAACATTCTTTCCTCATTTGTACTAAATATACTTACAATTGATTGATTGCTGGGTAGAGATTGGTCAAATCGCTTACTGGTTATGTCATTAAATGTGACACTGGATGATGTATGTTTAAATTCAACGTGTAGCATTAGTTCTCTTTAGATTGTAGGCACGTATTACCATCTGAGTTTCAGCTTGAATAAAATCTGTGTTCAGATTCTTCCAACTATCTTGAACTCAAAGATATGTCATAAAGTACATCGCCATAATATGTCATTTAGACTATTGGCCATGTTGTAATCTCATTGATATAACTTGACCGGGATTAAGGATTAGATACGATAATATTTGTTAAAACTTTAGTGAATAATAAGCAGGAGTTTTGATTTGGTTATAATTTGTTTTTTTTAAAATGTATCATTAATATTTTGTTGACATTATTTCCTGTTAAGTTGAACTTGTATATATAAATAGAACTACAGTTGACAATGTTGATCATAAAGAGATTACATCATTTATTTTGTGTAATGTGTTTACGCATAATACAATTACTGATAGTAATAGTAGCTTTGCAAAACAACTTTTCTACACATTAGCTAGATAAAAAATGTACACAACTGTTGCTGAATAAATAAAATATACAATAAATATTTTCATTTAAATAGTAGATTTTGATTAAAAGGAAATGCATACATTGACGACGACAAATATCTGCATTATGGAAAATGTTTTATCAGTGATTGAATTCATTAATTTTGATATGGGTTTTTGTTATGAACATTATTTTTAAGTTAACTGTTTATAGTATATTAGTTTTGACTTGTGTTTTTTCACTATTCTTGTTGTGAAATAGTTTAGTGATATGAAAATGTTTTGGATAATTCAGTAAGTAAACTGGAAATAAATGGGATTAGCGAATCATCACGCAAAAACTGTGAAAATTAAAACTCTAGAGTTACCTGACATAAAGGTGTATACGTTCCTGTTGTTGTACTTCACGTAGACATGTAATGATAAAACCAAAAACTTAAAAGGATATTAGGACAAATAAAAGTATATTAATCGGTATGAGGTACGATATTTAATGGGGATCTTCAATGTATAGATAATGAGAACTGAGTAATTCTGGGTTATTTAGATCGATTCTGACCCAGATTCTCCTGCCACCAGGCTTTTATTAACCTATTTATTCCTCTGAAGACGTGTGCAGATCTGCACTCTTTCACCAGAGGATATTTATTGAACCTTATTATTAGATTATCAGTATAGGGTTATGGAGATTGTTGAGTTTAAATTGATATCATGAATAGATCAACGTCGGACCGCCCTCGAAAACTTGGAAGTCCTAGACGTCAGTTTCGTCCTGGTATGAAACGGTCACGGAATATCGTGCATTGGTTTGAACGAGACATTAACACCGTTAGAAGACGGCTCAGTGGTCTAGACGTTGAGCTTTCGCGCGCAAGATTGATGGTCCCGAACTCAAGTCCCGCGTGCAGGATCGTGAGTGCTCACTGATGAAGAGTCCAATGCAAGGACGAAACGGCCATCCAGTGCTTGCAGGTTTTCAATGGTGGTCTATCATTGATCCATTTATGATATCGTTATTATTTGACTGTAGTTAACCTTCATTAATAGACTAATAATAATGGCTTTATTCAATAGCATGTGTTTGGTTATCGTAAGTAATTCTCTGCACAACACACATATGGAATATTACAGCAAACTTCAGTCTTACGCTTTTCTAACTTGTAAATATTTGTTAAAATAACCTTTTTTCTTACAGTAGTTGGGCGCTATTCATATTGATCTGAAAACGTTTACTAATGGTTTCGTTCATATAACATTTTCGTCTCATAATATACTTGATAAATAAAATTCAATCTAGTTACTTCTTCAAAAGTCAGATTAAGGGAAAACTAAGTATGCTAAAGTCACTAAAGTGTAAACCCTTACAATTTTAAATTATAAGAGTATGCGATTCGATTAACTGGCTCATTTTTTTTCTTCAAAAAACTGTTTGTTCTTGAAATTCCATTAGTTAGTTTACTTTCCTGAAAGGATCATGATAATATTTAACTTTTATCAGATATTATCTTATCAATTAAATAAAATCTTCTATTATTTAATGAAAATTGTTTTCACATTATCTATCTTTTAAAGAGTGAAAAACAAGCTCAGTCAATACATTCTTCATCGTGGATATTAGCATGTTTTGTATTTATTTATTTTTTAATTATAAAACTAGTTATATTGTGATTTAATCTCTATAGTTTCAATGAAAAACACTCAAATAGTATTAATACAAATTTCTATGTGAATGATAATCTGTAATATGCTCAATTCATGTATAAAAAAATGTATAATAACAGTTTCTTTATATCATATTGGGAAAAAAAAGTATTTTTGCCTACTCGATTATCGATTTGTTTTAGATTATTAAAAAAAAGTGTATACAAAACAATAAAAAGAACTTTTTGTAGTTAAACATATTAATTCAATTATTGTATTTCGATGAAACATAAGTGTATGGTAACAGAAATTTGCCTCATATTATATATTATTTAGAGCAATTTGTACACAAGATAGAAGATTCAGGATATCTCTTTTTCATAGTGTTTTAGTATAGTTTAACTTTTTTTTTCCATTTCTAATCGTTCAAGCATGTTTTACTACATACTTGTTTAAAATACAAGTTCATTTAAACAGCTTATGTTTCTCATTCCTTATGGATATTATTTCTACATTTCAATATTTATTGCATGTATAGTAGTTTAGGTTTCTTGTATGTAATTGGGAAGTCAACAATAAAAAAACTTGAATGTATGAAAGCGATATCATTCACTTATGATAGTATTATCTTCAGTATGAGGTTGTGAAAATTATTGAATTTTATTGAAATCATGAACTGATCCAAGTTAGACCGCCACTGAAAACCTGGAATCACTGGATGATAGTATCATCCTAGTATAGGATTCTTCAGGAGCGAGCACCCACATTCGTGACTCGAACCCAGAATTTTTGGTCTTGCACGCGAATGCTTAACCTGTACATCACTGACATGGCATACAACGATCTTAATGTCTGACATTGCGACATTGCGCGATCAATGTCAATTGTCTTCAGTTAGTAGCTGTTTCATACACGATGCAAATTTGCTGCACTGATCACTATTTCTCATTAGAACTCTGGAAATATCTTCTTGAATCTAGTCACCAGTGAGCACATGATTATTTTTATTATGGAGTTATGGAGATTGTTGAATTTCATTGAAATCATGAAAAGTTAGTCCACCACTGGAAGATGGTCTCAGAATTTTATGGGTTGATTAAAGCTAGACATTAAAATCTGTGTATGCCAGCTCAGTGGTTTAGAGAACAAGCGTTCTCGCGTGAGTATTGAGGTGCTGGGTTCGAGTCATGAGTATGGGGTTGTTGATGTGCACTACTGCGAAGTCACATACTAGGACGGAATGGCCGTCCAGTGCTTACAAGTTTTCAGTGGTGGTCTAACTTAGATCGGTTCATGATTTCGACGATATTATTGTTTTTATTATTTGACTTTATTTTATTAATCAGTTTTTAAACTTTATTTTCACGGTTAATTTCAATTATTTATAAAAAGAATCCTAAAACGATTCGATTCGTCGAAACTCTTTGGTTTATCCTTATGTAACAGATTGGACTAGCCAGGTGTTCAGTGTAGCTTACCTTTCACTCTCTCTATGTATTTATTTATTTAAACACATAAACATTGATACCAGGAGGCACCAAATAGATATGAGCCACATAAATTATTCGATTTATGTGAGAGCTGGGATACTACCCGGCTGCCCAAACGGAAGCAGGCGGTTTTCTTAGGGGGCCGCACTCCGAGCCTTTGACCTTAAGGTCTAATTCACAAGGCAGTGGAGCAACGTCACGAGATGTGGTCCCATGGTAGCCGGTGGAAGACGATAGGTTCATACGCCATTTTTTCCATCAGGATCATGGAATCCATGTACACTATTAGTTTGGAATCAGGGATTTCCAACTCCACTAGGTGAACCCTCTATACCCACCAACTCGGTTAAAGCGCCGGACATTCGCGTTTTGTCCTCTCAATTTCGCAAACAACACTCCCACCTTGAGAAGACAATGAGTAGGACTTTCCTGGCAGTGGTTGTATGCGCGTCGCCACTTGAGAGCATTTTGAGAGGAGGAGCTGACTGTCCCCACACTCGACCGTTCCAGGGCATTCGGGGGCTATATATATCTATATATGAAACACGATTTTTGTCATTTAGGTTTTATAAAACTGCTTTCTTACATTGATGATAGTTTGTTTTCCAAATTATAGCTTAGAATATTTCTGCAATATCGTTCATTTTCTAAAATATTTTTTTATCGTCACATCATTAATAACTTCACCATTTTGAATGATATTTTTACATGCTTCTGGATGAGGATTTGTATTAAAATATTATCGTGCCATTCACTTACTGGATATTTAATGTTCTTGTCACGTTTTCCTCTACATTGAGAATATAGTTTGATGTGTGCTGCCTTTTTGATTTTTATAAGTAACTTACTTTTCTTTTCTCTAATATCTGATCTCTTTTGTGAGAAACCTTGGAAGACGTGCGGTTAGGTTTGGTTTTGATTACCCTTAACTAAAGAATTAGTAAATGGTTTGTGATTTGACTAAAATAAGAAAATAAACTTAGTGGAGGAACGTGGGTTCATTTTATATACCGGTTTCTCATTATAATTAAGTATTAAGAGACTAAAAATGTAAGAACTTGACCATTGTGATGGGAGACCTAAACGCCAACGTTGGAATGGTCAACACCGGATATGAAGACATCATGGGACGACATGGACTGGGAGAAAGAAACAAAAATGGTGAGAGTTTGCAAATCTGTCCCTTCAATAAACTAGTCATAGGCAGCACCATATTCCCTCACAAACGCATATACAAAAGCACATGGGCTTCACTTGATCACACTATGCAGAACTTAATCGACCATATCTGCATCAACAAAATGTTCAGGAGGACAATGGAGGATGTGGGAACCGAAAGAGGGGCTGATATAGCCTCAGATCATCACTTGCTGGTCGCCAAGATGAAATTGAAACTCAAGAAGTACTGGACAACGGGGCGGACAACATCACAAAAGTTTAATACGGCTTTTCTTCGAGATACTGACAAATTCAAGATAGTCCTCAGCAATAAGTTCCAGGCCTTTCATGATCCACTCAATGGAGAAGGAACTACTATGGAGAGCAACTGGAAGAGGATCAAAAAGGCAATCACTTCAACATGTCATAAGGTCCTGGGTCACAAGAAGCACCATCACAAGGAATGGATCACTGTTGATACACTGGATAAGATTCAAGAAAGAAGGAACAAGAAGGCAGGAATCAATACCAGCCGAACAAGAGCAGAGAAGGCCAACGCACAAGCTAAATACACAGAAGTAAACAAGCAAGTGAAAAGGAGCATCAGAACCGACAAACGTAAATATGTGGAGGGTTTAGCTGTGACAACAGAAAAGGCTGCAAGAGAAGGAAACATGAGACAACTGTATGACACAACAAAGAAACTCGCTGGAAATTATCGTAAGCCAGAACGACCAGTGAAAAGCAAGGAGGGCAAAGTAATCACCAACATCGAAGAGCAATGAAACAGGTGGGTAGAACAATTCAAAGAACTCTTGAATCGACCAGCTCCACTGAACCCACCCAACATCGAAGTAGCAGCCACAAATCCCTTAATCGATGTTGGACCACCAACAATTGTAAAGGTCAGCATGGCCATCAGACAAATCAAGAGTGGCAAAGCAGCAAGGGCAGACAACATTACAACAGAGGCACTGAAAGCAGATGTGGCAGTAACTGCAACGATACTCCACACTCTCTCCAGCAAGATTTGGGATGAAGAACAAGTACCAACAGACTGGAAAAAAGGAGTTCTGGTCAAAAAGCTGAAGAAAGGTGATCTCAGCATGTATGCTAACTACAGGGGCATCATTCTTCTCTTAATACCAGGAAAAGTCTTCAACAGGGTATTGTTAAACAGAATGAAGGATTCCGTAGATGAACAACTTTGAGACCAACAGGCTGTATTCTGTAGGGACCGATTGTATACAGACCAAATTGCAACACTACGGATCATTGTGGAACAATCAATTGAATGGAATTCATCACTCTACATCAACTTCATTGACTACGAAAAGGCATTTGATAGCGTGGACAGAACAACACTATGGAAGCTTCTTCGACACTACAGAATTCCTATGATGGACTAAACTGCAAAATCGTGCATGGAGGACAATTGACAGACTCGTTCGAAGTAAAGACCAGTGTTAGGCAATGTTGCTTACTCTCGACCTTTCTCTCTTTCTCCTGGTGATCGACTGGATCATGAAGACGTCGACATCTGAAGGAAAGCACGGGATACAATGGACATCTAGGATGCAGTTGGACGATCTAGACTTCACAGATGATCTGGCCTTCTTATCGCAAACGCAACGACTAATACAGGAGAAGACGACTAGTGTAGCAGCAGTAGGTTTCAACATACACGAAGGGAAAAGAAAGATTTTGAAATACGACACAGCATGCAGAAATTGAATCGCACTTGACTTAGAAGATTTGGAAGATGTAAAAACCTTTACATATCTGGGCAGCATCATTGATGAACACGGTGGACCTGATGCAGACGTGAAGGCGCGAATCGGCAAAGCAAGAGCAGTATATTTACTACTGAAGAACAACTGTCAACCAACACCAAGTTCAGAATTTCCAACACAAATGTTGAGACAGTTCTACTGTATGGGGCCTGAAACTTGGAGAACTACAAAAGCTATCATCCAAAAGATACAAGCGTTTATTAACAGCTATCTACGCAGGATAATTCGGATCCGTTGGCTAGACACTATTAGCAACAGTCTACTATGCGAGAGAACAAAACAGATCCCAGCGGAGGAAGAAATCAGGAAGAAGTGCTGGAAGTGGATAAGACACATTGAGGAAGGCACCCGACTGCGTCACAAGGCAAGCCCTCACATGGGATCCTGAAGGTCAAAAAGGGAGAGGAAGACCAAAGAACACATTACGTCGAGAAACGGAGACAGACATTAGAAAAATGAACAACAATTGGATAGAACTAGGAAGGAGGGCCCAGGACAGAGTGGGTTGGAGGATGCTGGTCGGCGGCCAATGCCCCACTGGAGGTAACAGGCGTAAGTAAGATTAAAATGTAGGGAATAAAGTACGCTGTGGTTGAGAAAATGCCTGTTTTCCTGAGGTTTAGTTTCAAGGTTGATGAAATAATGGATCGTAAGACAGCTAACGGGCTAATCTCTCTGTATAAACAAATTGATCTTTGAGACGGTCATATGTGGACAAATTCCCACGCTATTTGTTTTCCAATTTTGTCTACCAGTTTGTGTGTTCACCAAAGTGCATAGGTTATGAGAAAGCTAGTGTCCAAATCTCTGAGCATATTCCATGATAACTTAAACTTGATTGGGGACATGCTTTCAGCAGTGCGATTGCACACCATTTGCTTGACAGTAATTATAGTGTCAATGTCTCAAATCCCTTAACGATTGCTAACTAATTTCGAATTTACTGCGTTCCACTGAAGCAATTGGCATAGAGAGACTTAAACCAAATTGATGCATTCCAAAAGTCTTAGTTACTGTCCCTGATTTGCCATGGCGAAGTTATTCATAAATGTTTGTCATGCAATTTGTTTCTTTCCACAACACTATAAATTCCAACTTCTTATCTGATCTCCACCCAGTTAGTTACTTTTATTTTTAGAGTTGCTTAGCTAATAACATTCTTTCGTTTCTAAATAATTCTGTTTCTATGTTCTTATTTGTTGGTTGTAGAATATTCACGTATTCAACCCATAAATCTTCACATTTAATATATAGACATCTCATAGTTTCTTTATATTTATTGTCTCTTTTCATTGATCTTCATTCATGAAAACTTTTCCGATATCATGATACATAAACTATGTACACTGGTTTTCGATAATTAATACTATTATGTTTAGACCGGATGCAATTGATGAGAAATAAGAAAATAAAAGGAATCCATACTGTTCTGTTACGTTAGTTGCTCTTGGTTTAGTTAAATTTATCAATAGGGATAATTGTATGATGGTCTAACATTGATCAGTTTATGATCTTAATTAAAATTGTATTGTCTTTGCAATTTATTGATTAGTAACTTCATGTTTTGTTTCTGACTAACAGGTTTGTTAATTTATGTAAACTTCTTAACCACAGAATATTGTTAGTATTGCCTTTAATTATATATAGGTACTTCAATTATAAAACTGCTCATAGTTCATGGAAAAGAACGAACTACAGTTCTCAACTATTATAAGTACCTAAAATTTGTAAAACAATAACCATGCAGGTACATCCAGCTGACTTGTCTCAAATAAGATGAAACATGTTTCCTGGATTCCACTACTAGACACCATTTATCTCTGCTTACAATAACTGGAGACATTTAAGATTCTATCAGAAATATGGTGATTCATGGAAAGGAAATCAAATATCGAGGTACACAAGATTTCGAGCTTATCAGAAAGCAAAAAAATTTGTAAATAAATGGACAATTGTTTCTGTTTTTAATTGATATGGAGAAATTCCTTATTTTCAGTAGTTATTTTGATTGAAACAACCGTCCAATTGGATAGGTTATCAATAGCAAAACAGTGCCAAAGTGCTGTTTGTTACTTCTCAAGTTATACATATTTATCAATCTGGCAATTTGCTATTTTTTTATGCTACCAATACATTCCATTTGGTTTTATGGTTCATTTTTGTCTGCTTTTATTTTCATAGACTCAACGTGACCCTCGCCTAAATGAAATTCTCTATCCATTTGCTAACAAACAAACTATTAAGTATATCCAAGAAAATTATGAAACACAAGAAGAATTCAAAAATACTGGTAAGTCTGGAAGGAAAACATTTTCAATCGTATATTCCTTTTGTTTATAATGGATTTTCAAAAATCTGTATCTCATCAATTTCTCACACCAGCTAATTGGCACATTAAGACGGCAAATAGGTAGTATGGACGACCAATAAATCAGAAATATAATATTCGTCGGGATGACTACTAAACTTCGAGAATGTACTTAGAAAATAGTGGGTAAAATCATGATGTGAAAATTATGAAACAATTCAACGCTTAAAGTTTAGTGGAAGATAGAAAAGATGATTATATTTATGGGACAGATTTCTATGAGTATCCTAAGATGGCCAACATACAAGTCAACATTAACAATCCACACCCGATAACTTTGTCAACTGACTCCATATTATAAACTGGTAAATTGTAATATTATATATAATCTCGGTTGAAGACGGTTCACAAGGTGATCGACTGTTGTATTGCTCAACGATTAACTCTGGAGACGTTTGTCTAATTTTCCATACCTTTGTAACGTTTTAATAATTGTAGTTTTGGCTTTGATATCCTTTATCAATGTGAATGTTTGTCATATATGATCAGATTAAAGTTTCATCTGAAGCTGTTTCAGTAATCAATAATTATTCGTATAAATTATAAATATTTAATAATTCAGTAGCTTTAAAAAGTGTTCGTAATATTAATAATTATTATGTCATCAATACGATTCGGTTTTTCTAAATCTTTTTTTCTGAAGTTAAACTGGGTTGATTTTTTAACTGGTATTACATACACTATCTATTAGATACAATATTTAAATGGACATTAATTTGTAGTTAGATGATAGTGATTAAACGTTATCTCATCACGAAACTTCATACACACAGACACTGATTCCACAAAATGAAACTGTTTCTTTCAAAACGTAATCATATTTGATTTCTTTCCTACAAGCGTGTATATTAATACTGTTATTTAGATTAGAAGGCTTTTGCAACTTAATTTCTAATCTAACGTTTAGTTTCTCTTCTACCCCGTATTACAAACAAATGTATGACGTAAACTTCTTACCTTCTATTGTAATCATAGTCTGAAAAATCATTTATTTCATTATAAAATTATCATTGGTTTCTCCACTATAATTCATTATATTTTATCGTTTGGTTAAATTCTTTCTTCTCGTTGTTGTTCTTTTTTATTCATCTTCTTTATTCTCCTTTTTATTTTTTATTTTTTTAATCCACAGATGAGGTATCCATTGAATGCTTTTATCGTTATTTAATGTCTGATGATAATGCGTGTGTATTTTTGGACAAGTTAGATATTTATCAAGATATGGATCAACCACTCAGTCATTATTATATTAATTCATCACATAATACCTATTTGATTGGACGACAATTTGGTGGTAAATCATCTGTTGAAATGTATCGACAAGTATTACTGGCTGGTTGTCGGTAAGCTAGTTTTTATTTTAGTTTTAATTCAGGATTATCTATTGCAATTGTCATTAGCTTCCAGTTTGTAGCGAGTTTAAGTTATTTACATTAAAATAATAGACACACTTATGTTTCTTTATTACATTTTTTGCTGTAGGTATAGTTTAAGGACTAGTAATACTAACTTCCCTCTTTTTAGACTGATCTACTGAATGTAGTTGAGGTGAAGTGTCCGGTTGTTGATAATAATGAAGTGCTCCAACTAATTAGACTACCACTCCATATGTTACACTAATACCATACAGAAGTAATGATCTTGAATTGTAATTAAAATGTTAGCAACAATTGCATTTGTCTACTCGAACAATAGGTTATTGTAGTGAAAAAAAGCTGGGAAATCATTTAGTATGGCGTTTTTTTGAATTTTATTATAACTTAATTTATACGAATGAAAGTGTATAGTATACTTTGATGAACTTCAGTTTATATATCAGTATATACATGATTTTCTCGCTCTTTCTATCTATTCACTAAAATGTGTAAGCATGTTGTCACACAACTGTGTAAACAGGACTATTTTCTCAACCTTTTATTCGTTTAAAAATATATCACTTTATCAACAATTCAACCTTGCATACTTAGCTGTCAAAATAGATTTGTTGCTGTAGTTCTGTGACTGTTCTCTTCAATCTTTTTTCTTCCTCTGTTATTTTTACGTACAGTTATACTTTCTAAAAAGTAAATATGAAATTTTATTGTTTTAAAATATAGTGTTATTATTTATTTCTCTGTTGAAAGTGTACATTCCACTGGCAAGCATTCCACTTCAGATCAGTGTTACATAGTACTTATGTATGTCGATATAATTAGCATACACTACTGTTTAATTACTCAACGTCTAATCATTTCGACGTAATAGTTTCAAAATTTTTGAAGGAAACGTGCTCAGTATTAGTCGACAGTGGTCACTTATTGGTTGCCCATTTCATCTTATCCTTATTATTCAATCCAACTAACACCTAATCTTTTATAAATCTTGTGTATAAACTTGAAAGATGTTGGCTGCTTTTGATTGCACCTTATTATTACCAACATTGTTGTGATTCACGTTGTTTTTGTTTACCCCTTACCTCTGTAATTCCCATTTTCATTTTTGTTCATTGATCATTAATAAAAGTCCTGTTATAAATATCGATAAAAGCTGTATTGTTTATTCGAATTTAGTGCTTCGATATCATACAATCAATGTACGTTAATAATAGTTCACAATTATCTCAGGCTTTTTTAAACATTAGTATGTTAGCATTAGCATTATATTTGGGGACTGTTTTATTGACACGTTGCTTTATGCAACTGTTGGTCCGCATGATGTATTTGCTGTTTTAGTTGGATAAATGCTTTTTACCATCTAACTTCTCAGTCGTAATATAGATCTTTTGCAATTTTCCGCACATACATTTTCGCGAACATTGCTGTTCTTGAAGCGTTATGAAAAAGAAATACTATAGTAAATACAATAAATCATAAGAAGCCAACTGAAAGTCGGTGTTTTTTTTAATTTTCAGGTGTTTTTATTTCCCAGTTTTATGACATCTTCTGAACGTATTCAATAGTTTTCTACACTTCTTAGCTGGTCGACAGCTCATTCTAGTATTTGCGTGATTGTATGTTTGATTAGAATTATAGCTGTACGTAAATAATTTTAAAGTAAAGATTTATAACATATTAATTGACTATATATGTCCACTAAAGCTTTGGTAGGTGAAGTAACTTTCTAACGTATATCCCAATGAATTAAGTTTACTAATGTTTGGATTACTTTTATATTGTTTGACCTATCCGTTTATCTTCAGTGCTTAGCGTAACTTAGCTGTATAAAGAAAATTAAATAACTCAGTGTAGAACTACATTTTTGAATGAATGTTACTATTTTCTGATTACTGAAGTCGTAGTCAGAAGACACGGGTTCAAATCTGCAAACAAATTGTTGACAGACGACTAATATAATGATATCGTTTTACTGTTCTACTTATTTGTCACTTATAATTACCATTGTAGAATTTTTCTTGATGCGTTCACTTGTATAGGTATAATTGTTTAAAATTAGTTTCGTAAACCAATTGATAGTTATAAAATAGAACGTTATTTTGTTCAAACCATCACCTACTTAACATTCATTGTTTTTTATTTAATTAGTTTATTCATTAAGTCTGTTATATTTGTGTTTGGGGATCGAATTTGAAACTAACGCTTAACTAATTAATTTAGTTTTCTTAGCAGTAATCCAAACCTTCTTTCACTAATTAATGGAAATTTGATCATATATTTGGTTTATGCACAAAATCTTTCCTTTCCACATCCATCGATAAATGATGTTTCATAAATGAACTATTCTTACTTTTCTATACCTTATCTTTATTTCCTTATTATAAATTTATTGAAAAAATCGGTTGACTACCTAATAAAATTAACTTTCAATTAAATAATAAATATTTATGAAGAGGAATCTGATATTTGGATATAATGATGATTAATTTGTACGTTTTGATGTACCTAATTCTAGTTACGATATAATACTTTCATGTGTGTGTTGATTGCTTTATCTTCAAAATAAATTCTGGTTCACCCGTGATTACTAGAGTATGGGTTCAATAGTTGTCGGAATTACTACTTTATATATTGAATTCAAGTGGACTACATCTCCTTATAGCAGATATACAAGTAGGATACTTAGTTTGTTTTCCTTGTTTTGTCCAACATAGCATATACTAAAGTGATTAGATCTACATTTTTTCTGTAATACCTATTTCATTTTATTATGTAGTTCTTTTGTTCATTTATCATGATCTTCACTGTAATCTTTTGATCTTTCATCATGCTTCCTGTTATTTAGTTAGTTAACATGATTCATGTTTTTGGCTCTCTTTGTAAGCGATTATACATGGGTTTATTTTATGAAGAAATAATTTTGAATGACTTTGATTTAGAAACACATAACAAAACAGTTACATGGACTATTTCTTTCTGTATTTCGGATAAATAGTGATGATCAAAATAACTATTGTGAATGTGATACTTAACATTCGACTGTATAAAAACTAAACTCTTTGAGTCTTTTCAGAAAATTCATCTGTTCCAAGTGTTAGTTAAAACAAATCACCTTACATAAAAAACTATACACATGCACACATGTATCCATACGAATTGAATGTTGATATTTCATACAACTTTTCCCATTTATAAATTTTAAATGAAGCAAGAAAAAAGATGATTAAACAGCGCAACTTCATTTGTTGCATGGATTCTTTTCAGCTATTCATAGTTTAGAAAATAATAGTATTAGCAGTAAACATATTTTATGTCGCAATACCAGAAACTTTCTAATCAGTGAGGTGTAATTAAGGGTGATGATAAGTATGTAAAAATAACGAGAGGCGTTTGCCTTAATGGAATACGTCAAATACTGTAGATATTCTGAAAGTAAATGTTCGTGAATATGGGTAACTGGGAAACATTTTATGTTAAATGTAATTTAATAAAAGCTACAAAAGATAGAATTTATTATAAGTGTTCGATAACTGAAACTTAAAACTCAAGAAAGGATGAAGAAAGTGAGTGTGTAACTGCAAAAATGAATTAACTGTTACAGAACTAAGTGTTCGTAATTGAGTTCTTCATGGTAGTGCAAGACTGGCAGCATTATCCTTTAGAACGTATGCATCTGATTTATGTTTTTTGAAAGTGATAGATTCGGTAAAATGCAAGAAGTTTCAAGTTGTTTGTTTATTGATGATTTTGAAATGCTAGTGGTATGTCTCTAAGTAGATGACAAGCGACTACATAGGAGAAAGCATGTCGACTAATTGATCCTAATTACTAAGAAATGTGCTCGTAGACGCGAACAATAACTTCCATTTTCTGTTACGTTAACTTTTATAACTTCCGCAATAAATCCTGTGCTTGAATGTGTATCTGTCTGATTCTCTGAGTTCATATTTTACACTGGGAACGAAGATTGATGTAAATTACTTATGGTTGTACTGTAATTTTTTTACTACACTTTATTACATAATTTTCAATTTTTCCTGTCGTCATTTCAAGATGTATTGAATTGGATTGTTGGGATGGTCGAGGTGAAGATCAAGAACCAATAATCACGCATGGTAAAGCAATGTGTACTGATATACTATTTAAAGTAAGTTTTGATTAAGTAACTTGGTTTATTTCATTGGTGTATGGAATTTTCTTTCCATTCCCTTCTTTTATTACTAAGGCATCTTTTGCCTTCTGTTGCTTTTTAATTTTTTTTACCGCAGAACATTAGTTAACTTTTCGTTTTGTTGTTGTTCTTGTTACAAGAAGTTTTGCCCCATTAGTTTCATACTGACCTTTGTGTACAAAAATTACCTTTTTTTTCCTAAATAAATATTTCCTTTTTACTTGGAATTTGACCTACATTCACTTGATGATAATTTTCCTTCCTTTTCTCGGGAATCATTTGCATAATCTATTACTTGTTTGTTTATTTGCTTTATGGTCATATTTTGGAGTGAGTGTTTACTTACATAGATATAGGTATATATTTCCTAGAATTGAATTTTACACGTACAATTTCTCACCATTTTTGTAAATAAGAAATGAAAGTAAACGATGGTGTTCATTGATGTCAAAGATTATATTTAAATTCCAACTGAGTGAAATAGACTATGACAATTCCATTGATGTACTCATGTGTCAAGGTTCTACATTTCATATAACTTATTGACCTGCTGAATGATTGCGGACTAGTAACAAAAATCATATTTCTTTGACATCTCAACCGTGACGACACTAATTGACGTGCGTTCTGGTCCAAAAGATATTTAAATGAAGGCAGGAACCCAGAATCACTGATTTTAGTAATTGTTCGAATGCAATAGAATTGGCACAATTCATCTGCTATTTCAGAACACAGGTACAGATGACTGAAATGATTCTTATTTTCTAAAAGGTTCTAAAATCTGTGTAAATAGTCTGTTTGTGAAGAGTGCTTCTAAGATTTCATCATTTAATTAGACTAGCCAAAGAACTGTTAAAAAACTGACTAACACCAGACTGCTATTTCTTGTTTGCTTTATTTTCTCATTGTGTGCATTCATAACCGCATATGAGGTGACGCTGAGAACCTTTAGGTCTCAGAACATGCATAAATTATACGAATCAAGCACTAGTAATACCTAGTCAACTCTACCCTAACATCCAAATCTTTTCCAATACTTCCTACGCTGGAAAGTTATCGGTAGCCCTATCGGTTTTCCTTCATTAAAATTCGAGTTATAAAACTCGCATTATAATAAGTTTTCCTGTTTTTATTCCTTTCTCAATTGTTTAATGGGTGAATAACATTGTTATGTCTAGAGCCTAGATTCTTAATATGTCGCGTATAACTTGAGCACTTGAACGCTAGAACCCTCTTAAATCGCAAATGAGAAGACAGAAGAGAAGTGAAAGGAGTGCTATTCCGAATGGTGTCATTTATGTTACAGAACTCTCAGGTATTCATAGTTTTTAATAAACGAAACCATCATTATAGTTCTCCAATCCTTATACAGAGGGTTATTAACACTTGTCTAATAGGGAAGCTACACGTAGGGATTCTGGAATATTCTTCCAAAAGATTACTGGTTAGAATATCTTCGGCTCTTTCTGAACTTTTTAATGCTTCCTCGAGTTCTTGATTGACTGATAACCTCTAAAGTATTCAGTATTCTTTTCTCTCATTAATATCTATAAAATGTCTACAGTTTTCTATTTATGCTAAGCACTTCAGTAGTGCTAAGATTGTTTGTTACATCGTTATTTTGTTTGCACATATTGTCTACTTTGATAATAATGAGTTATTTATTAATAATACTATTATTTTTATTATATTCAGCAGATATCTTAAATATTTAACGCTAATGTTTATTGTATTAGACAAATATGTGACAAATTTTAACTAGATTTTTTTTAATTATTAGAAAGAATTTCATAACGTTGAATGAATATCAGAAGCGATTTTGTGGAGATTTTGGAAATTTCACTGGTTGAAATCATGAGTCAATTGAAGCTAGACCAGTGTTTCCACGTTTTCCATGGTGGTCTAGCTTCAATTAACTTATGGTTTCAACCAGTTGAAATGAATAGCAAATTTAAAATAAAAACACATTGCTTTCCTTTTATTATATTCATTTCACATCAATAATTTAGTCACATTAGAATGGAATAAATTTTTATTTCGTTCTTTCTTTGTCTTCTTTTTGTCATTCCAATGCATTTGAAAACACTACTTATTTATTGGTCAACTAATACTACTGATCAGTAATGCATATGATTCTTTAAAACAGTTATTTACGTATAAACATATTAAAGTATTCTGCTTTTCGCAGTACTACTACTACTACTACTACTACTACTACTACTACTACTACTACTAATAATAATAATAATAATAATAATAATAATAATAATAATAATAATAATAATAATCTTCATATATTATCTTCGGAGTATAGTGACAAGGAAATGAAACGAACGTTTAGTTATATCAAATTACTTAGTTGATTTATATAGCGGTAAAACCTTAAATTTATTGCTGAAATATCTTGTCTGTTACTATTCTTAATTTCTAATTTTATCAAAAAATGAAGTATTATTTCACAGGTCAGAAAACGTTTGAATTCCCATAATCGTTTTACTTAATTAATTTTAATATGGATTACTTATGATAGATGTGACTGATAATCCATTATATATATTGACCTAATCAACTCATATACTTGATGGTAATTATGTATCCAGTTCACTTGTTCTGCATACAATCCATCATTAAAACTAATCACATAAAAGTGGACGTAATTTTGAGTTTTGTTTCTAGGTCAATGTGTACACGAAAGATATTTACAAGAGAAAAAAAATAACAATAGAATCAATAGGTTTGACCTTTAATGAAATAATTGACCAGGAATTAATTATGTTTTTATGAAGATATGTTCATAGTTTTTGTTACAAATCATTGAATGCTAGATATTAATAATTATCGGGTGCTTTTAAGTGGTTTGTACTTATAATCTTGAATGAAATTGAATAATTTCGCTACAGTCACAATTTCCAAACCTTTTAAGTTAAAATCCAATATTCTTGATCTTGTTTTTCAGTTTTGGTCCATTTTTTAATTAATTGCGAACCTCAAACTATGTTTTATTCTGCAAATTATTTGACATTACTGTTCAACGCTTTCCATTGGAGGAAAACATTAAAACAATTCATGAATTCATGAGTCTACGTAAGCTAGACCACCAATGAGAACCTGGAAGCACTGAACGGTTGTTTCGTCCTAACATTTTACTCATCAACAGTGAGCAGCCACGATCTCACGCACAGGAATCGAACCCAGGGCTCTTGGTCTCGTGCGCGAACACTTAGCCTCAAGACCGCTGAGCCGGCATTCAACGGTGTTAATGTCTAACTTCGATCGGTCCGTGATTTCGCGCAACCCTTCATTCATTGTCTGAAGTAGATACCTGTCTCTGCCTAACACAAATCGGACTCCACTGGTCACGGCTTCACACGAGAACTCCAGGAAATCCATCTTGAAGCTAGTCATTTGCGAGCACCTGTTGATTATATTCAGAATAGAGGTTTTCAATGGTCTAGCTTACATCGATTCCTGAATTCAACTATTGAAATTACTACAATCTCCACATACCCCTCATTCTGATCATAATCTTAAATTCAGTTGTTAATTATCGTCAGATTACTATTTATTTGGTTATTTTTGTGAAAATGTTTGCATGTTTTGTAAATAATTTACAAAAATTCTTGAGCTGATATCAGTTTGTAACGAGCACTATTACCATATTCACTAAAAAATGTATTTTTAATTTGAATTCATTTTCGATCATTTATTCAATAGACTAAATATACTTTTAGACTGTTATTATACATTTAAACGACCTAAATCTGTTGTTATCGAAATTTACACGAATACACCAACTTATTTAATTTAATTACATTAATATCGGTAATATGTATTAAGTATGGTTAATTGACCAACTTGTCGGCTGCCTGCTTGAATATCTGGGCTACCTGTTCCTGCCATCTAGATATTTCAACAAGTTATCTGTTTTCTTATTTGTTTTGACACATCATTATGTCTATTGAGCGCACATTCTATTCAGGCGCGTTTATGAAAAGTTTACGACATTTCGTTGTACAGGCTAGCAATATGCATTGAAAAGAACGAACATTATTCAGATGTAGATTCGCGAACTGCTAACATATAATTGGCAATCACTGAATATGTGTCGTCAGGATCGATCAAGAAATAAGAAAAGGAAACTTGTTGAAATACTTTGCGCTGAGAATTCTATGTTGTATCAAAAATATAATATTGAATAAAGCTAATAGTAATACTGAAGTTCATATTATCGAAATTGGACGGTAGATGGATGTTAGCATTCATTAGGAGTTTCAAGATAATACTAATAATATAATAACGGTAATCGAACACAGTTATGCTATTACCGTTTCACCATACCTATTGTTGATTGGTTAAAAAATATATATTATTTAGTTTCTGAAAATTTTTAACTAAGCGAAAAATGGGGTCAGAAAGCTGATAAATAGATAATGTGTCAAACCAATCCAATTCAAAGTTAACATGAAAAGACGTTAGACGTTGGAAAAGACACGTTTAGGAGAGATTTTCATATTATCACATACAATTTCTACAAATATTTCTCCAACTACTCAACCTGATAAGTCATCAAATGTTAATACTTCTATCTTTTAATTCTCTTTTATCTTGAATGTAAATGTCCTATTTGTTTATAAATTTTTATTATCTTCAACACGTTTTTCTTGTTTTAATTAATCATCTTGAATCAGATCAATCTTATCATCTATATGGCCCTAAGTATTATTGAATTATTTCTTAAAATTAATATACTTTTCCCTATATAATAATGTGATTTGAGTCATTGATCTAAAAGCGAAATGTTTATTACTTTTGTTTTTGAAACTTCATTTGTCATTTATTGTAATTAAATATTTATTTCTTTACAATGAATAGTAATTGATTAACTTTACTTATGTATAGAGTATTTCTAATAATCAGTAAAGTTGCAAGATATGTATATAGATATGTTTAGAATGTAAAATTGAAAGTACTCATGTTAGTTAAGTGTTTGAAGTGGCCCGGTGATCTGACTCCAATTTATAGTGTACGAATGTTTGCTATCACCTATTCTCGATTATCATCGTCGACTTAGATCGCGTTATCCAATAACGGAATTAAATAAGTCGAATAACGAGAGTTGATTTGTGAATACACATATTTCGTACATGGAGCGAATGAAGCACAGCAAAGCAAAAATCACACGTATGGAAGATGGCTGGGAAGCCAACTCCATTTTAATTAAGCGTTACTCAGTATTTATAGGCAGACAAAATAAGCTACAGACATACAATGAGTCATGGGACATGAAGTGTACACACATATACGCTCATGTGAAAACAGTCAAGGCTAATAAGCGAATAATTGACAAGGTCAAAATATGGCTCAAGTAAAATGAATAAAATAGGATGTCCGGAAGTTAGAATAAAGGTATATGGGCTTGCCATAATAACTGACACTACATGTTTAAAGCAATTTTCTTGTTGCTAGACTCCAGGCATAAGCAGGATAATGCAGGCTGAATGGAAGTGCAAACTGTTTTAAATAGAGACCATATGGTAGTGCTCATCAAACTTTATAGTTGCGATATCAATATATATATATATATATATATATATATATATATATGGATGATTGTCAGTCCTCCTAATATTATTATTATGTCTGGTTGAAAAGTGTCAACAGTCCAAGAAACGTATTTCAGTAACTATCCACCACTCTTCCGTTCGCATCAAACAAATGCGTCTTCATGTTAAGTCATTTGCATCAGTGACTGTAATAATAGTTTATAGATGTAACTCAATGAATGTTAAAGACTACATAATGTAATTTACCAGTTTAATATAGGATACAAAGAGCTAAAACCTGTAAATTGATTCCTTATCTTTATAAACTGAATTAATCATGTGTTGATTTCATTTGTTTGCTTTCTTTTTTTTTCTCTACAGGATGTAATTTATGCAATTAGAGATACAGCATTCGTAGCAAGCGACTGTCCAGTTATCATGTCTTTTGAAAATCATTGCAGGTAAACTCTCTTCGTCCATGTTCACATAATAATTCATTAAGATTTAATTTATTTGATGCTCAATAGGGCACTGTACATAAAATGTCTTTTTTTTCAAATAGAATTTTTTAATGTCATATTTATTAAATATCATTTCAGTTAGAAAATTATATAATTTTTGTAAATTGTGTGTCCTATTTTATGTATAATATTTGGATACAAATTTGGGATTATGATCTTTACATGACTTTATAGTTGTAATTCCGCCCCCCCCCCTCTCAAAAATCTATTTGTTGAAAACAAGTAAATTCTATCTGTTCATGTGCTTTTAATTAGAGACAAGATTGTCACCTGTGATAGAAGTAATTAGAATAAATAGTTAATATTTAGACTTGTTGTAGTTCAGTCTGCAACAAAACAATCAGTATATCTATATATATTGGTCATATAAAGACACAAAGCTTTCAACAGCTTAATCTTATCTCTATATTTAACAACTACAGATTAATATTGTTCTGTTTAATATATTCATTTAGATTATTTAAACATGATACATTTTCGTCAAATTCTAGATGTTCATTGCTTTATACTTTTATGTAAAACCCTATCTATATTTGTTTATCTCTATTATTCTAATTTTATTGCATATATATTTAATACTATTATGATTGAAGCATCAACAATCTTTTTTGAATCTTCAAACGTAACCTATGAACAAAGTTTGCTATGAAAATATTGTTGAAATTATTCGTGTCAAAGCATTACTGCTACGTGGTTAGAAAAAGAAAATAATTGTGAACTTCTCAGAGATTTACCAGGATTAAGGGATAGTTTGAATTTCCGTAAAACCAAAGCCTCCATCGTTCAATGATCTGGCACCATACATTAAATATTAAACTCTATCGTATAGTTTGATGATGTTTCTCTTTCTTGAATTCCTCTCATTACTGAATCGCATGATATAGTCAATCCTAAAAAAAATTCAATATTGTTTCAAAGTGATGTAAAATCACCATCAACTATACAGAAGTCAAAAATGTGATTGATTAGTTCATTGATCTTGTAAGATCCTGTACAAACAAATATATCTAATCTTCTTAAATCATTTGACTTTCATTGGTTATTGATTGATAATTATCGATTGATCAAGCGTAAATTATACTCATTCTTAGTATCATAAATTAGATCTAATCAAAATGGATAGATCACTTTCATATATAGAGTATAGTTTATATATATTATATATCCATATATTCAATAGGACTAGACTTAAGTGTTCTTCTTTTAAAATAAACTGATGAATTACTTAGTAAAATGAACATTGACTAAATTATAATGAAATAATAATTATAATGGAGAAAATGTACATGTTCAGGCAGATTGTTATCTCATTTTGTTGTTTAACCAATAAGAAATTGTAATAACTCGAAGAGTGAATAGATATGTATGAATTTAATATTATTAGTTGTATGTATTCTAGTATAGTATAGTGATGAATTATTAAATTCAGTAAACTGAACAATATTACTTTCGTTTTATTTGAATAATTCATAGTGAAGCATTTAGTCTGTTCAGTCAACACGCGAACTGAGTTTAAGATGACTTCATCATACAAAATGTTGAGTTCATCAATTTTATTCTATTCGAAATACTACACACTAGTTTTATTACACATCCACCCTCTTCGTTTTGATGACTCCAAAAGTCAGATTCTGCAACTTTATCACTGTTGTCACATAATCTCATTGGTTCAACTACATATATTTTCCTTATAATCAAAACACGGACGAATCTCGGGAGTGTCTAAATCTTGTAACTTGGGTAGATTATTTGTCTTGGTAATAGAGTTGTTTGGCCAGGAACTCACAAGAAGTCACTGGCGGATATGTAAACACATAGTCATGGTGTGGCAGCCGTTCGCCAGCACCACACTATACACATGATTCTCAAGCGCTTGAGGACCTCTGTATACAAGGCAATATGCGCTATTCGTCTTCCTTTGACAGATCAGTAATGTAAATATCAGAATGTCGAGCAGCGTTATTTTATTTATTTAGCTGATAGATCACGTACTAGCATATGGGCGGTTGTTTGACATGAGCATTCAAGGTCTTTAAGCTTGGTAAAATAGTATAAACTGCATTACAGTGACTAGCTAAAGGCTTTTAAATGTAATCAAAGGTTAATTAGTGATATGAACAACCGTTATTACGCTGCATCATTCAAAATTGGAAATATTAAGTGTACCTGTGTTGTAACAGTGAATCTCTTGCTGAACACTTCAAAGAGATATGGGAATATTTATCACTTTAACCTTCATTAATTCACTAAATGACAACATTGTTAAACTATCAATCAAACAAACTGATTTCATTTGAATTAATATGATTAATGTAATCGAATGTGTATTCGTAGATGTATTGTACATTTTGCAGAATATTATCCAATAAGTTTAACGTTCGAAACTGAATATTTGATTAAAACTTTCTTGATAACTGAAATTAAGATTACATTTCTGTTTCGTACAGAGTGGAAAATAATTAAATGTGTGGTAACATTGTGGTGGCAGATTATTGGAGTTGCTTTGAATTACATTTCACCTTATTTAAAAAGAAGTGTTGATCTTATTGTCCTTTGAAAACCAATGGTTTTTTTAATTATTGACAACCCTTGAAACTATCTGAAGGTGTAATGAAACGCATGATATGAAATTAATGTTCAAGAGATCTTAAAATGGATTATTATATTTGTGGGCTAGTCAAGGCTTTTCTAAACGATGACTAGCAACTACCTTTTCTCTGGAAATTAATTTCGTTTATCTGTTGATGAAAAACTTCTTTAAACTTTCTATCCTTTTGGTTAAAGTCATCTTAGTCATGAAAACGAAATATACCATGAGACTTGATTTAACTTTTATTTAAAACAGATCCTATTTTTTAAGTAATGGAAATAATTTATTTGTTTTATTGTGAATAATAAATTCCAGTCGCTATCGATATATTTTGATGTGAATGAATTACATCACTGTTGTATTATTTTAAGTGAGAATGTATTTATTAAAGTTCGTGTACGTGATAGAGCATGGTAAAATCATTTTATCGACAGGGGATATATCTGTAGAAGTGTAATTTCAGGCTTAATTTTAACTTCTTGTTAAAGTGTTATTTTCATAGTTCTGGTTCATGAAACGATTGATGATTATTTTGTGCATAGTGTACTATAATTAACTTATTTCATATTTGTACATAATTCATGCCTTAAAATGTATGTTTATATTATTGATATTTCCTCGTCAAAATAAAAATATTGCACTGTATGGTGCAATAAATTTCCATATGTGGTTGTGGATTAGCAATAAATAATAAATGATATAGTAATTTCTGTAATTTTTAGAAATTTTACTTCTGCAAGTATTTCTTATGGCTTTAATAACTTGCGGTAACTTTGATTTTTATTCGTTTGTCAAAGGGTGGACATTTTGTAAAATACACGGTTCAGAGGCGTGGCAACGAAAGTGGAACATATTTATGAACTGCACTTATTTAATTATAGACTCTTGTAGAGAATTATTAGTGTATGGTTAATTTACAGAAATGTTTGTCTTCCTCATGATTGCAACAACAATACGCTCTATGACTTCTGTAACTAAAATGGATCGGTATAGGGGATTTCGGTGATTAGAAATTGTTATGACTTTAAATTGGGTCGATTTTTACCCTGTGTTATCGATCGATTACAGTGACACGTAAACACGTACGGACGGCCTAGAGTCTCGATTGGTCTCGCTTCCCTGTTTAGCCCAGTCAGTTGAGTCCAGAACACAAGTCACAACCTCTGAGATATGAATCATTGAATTTCAGACATTATTTATATACTAACCAAACATACCACATCGTACCATAAAAATAGAAAACAACATTTGTACAATATTTAACGGATGAAGTAAATAATGGCTAATAGGAAATCTCCATTTAACGTCCAAGGACATCATTAGACTTAACATGATAATGATTGGCACATTATTCTGCATCCATAACAGAAATGTTCATAGTTCATAGCTAAACCACCATTTAAAACCTGAATGCACTAAACAACCGTTTCGTTCTAGGATGGAACTTCTGAGAAGTGCTCATCGACGACCTTGTTTGCGCAGATCAATTTCAGGACCTTCGGCCTGATACACATACGTTTAACCTCTAAACCATTACCCCGGTTTCCAATGGTGTTAAGTTCTAACTTTCATACTAAGATACAACAGCCGCCTAGAGATCTCACGCTTTCAATGATGATATAGCTAAGATCATTTCGTGATTCACACTGTGATAATATGGATTTGTCTAAGGATATATCCCATTCGGCGAGTAAAATATCACTGTTTGAACATTGGACTCTCTGCCTGAGTAGATTTGTGCTGTATATATGTTAGACCTGAGCCGTTCAAGATTAACACTGTATGTGATCATTACAACTAGGTGAATAGTGCTGAAGTACTGGGAGTTAGTTTATTTAGCTGATAAGGTAATTAATCTTTATCTTGGTAGTTAAACGCCTTAAACTGTCTGAAATACTGTCCATCACGGTTTGACATTTACCTGAAATAAAAAAAGTTCACACCAAACTGAAACACTGTGTAAGTTTATAATGTCATTGTCATTTGTTTTTGATTTTTCTTTTCTGTGTATCGTAAGCTAATCTTTATCTTTTGTTGTAGGTCTTATGTAAATTATCTATATCGAAATCACTTCGAAATATATATATATATATATATATATATATATATATATATTCTTATCCTTTTGAATTTTCGGCGTTATCATTTCATTCATTTTACTACTGGAATTTACTATTTTCTGATGTACTCTCTATGCTTAATCTTCGCTTTTATTGACATTCTAATCGCTTTATTTTTTTATACTGATAATGGCTCTGTCACTGTGCTGATGTAATGTGTAACAATTTGAGTCTTTACATTTTTGTGCAATGTTCGTTGCTTGTTATATATATATATATATACTTTTTTTAAAGCAAACATCAACAGTATAAACTTGCGAAGTATTGTGAGGAGATACTTGGAGATATGTTACTTACTAAACCTTTGGATAATTATTCGGTAAGTGTTCTTTGGTTGTTACTTAAATTTATCATTTGATACCTGAATATTTTTGTAGTTAGACAACTCAAGATGATTTCGACCAAACTACTGATAAATTGTTGACAATACTCGACTGCTAAAGGGAAATGGAGACTGATGGTTACCAGTTCATTCTTAAGTCTCTTACCATTTCAGTTAATTTTGAACAACTTAATTCGTTCTGACTGTCACTTAAATTTCTTTTCGATTTCAATTGTTAGTTGTGTGTAAGTGTACAAAACTTTGAAGTTAGTAAGATTTTAAGGGACTTCTTATCTATTTGCAAAGGTTAGATTATTCTTCCTCTTATTGGTTGCGTAGTTATTATTAATAAGTATGTTTTTACTGTTTTTATGTAGTTGATATATTTTCATTGTCATTCATTTAAAATGATATGAGCAGATTTTTTAAAAGCATTAATATTCACGTAGGATTCAACGATATTTCCAACTGTTAAGTCGATTATCTATTGAAAGATGTTAACTGTACACTCAAAGTTAAATTGATATATCTTTTGAATCACTAACAATTAAATACTTCATTTCTTATTATACTTTCATTGTATCAGTGAGGGAGGTTCATCCATTCTTTTATTTTTCTGAAAATCTCCAAGATAAACGTTGGTACGGCGATTATCGTACATTTTACGTTACAAATATAATTATACACTTTATACAATAAAACCGTAGCATACGACAGTTTATAAATTCAAACATTACAGACTATGAACAAATTGATAGTGAATAGACTCTTAAAAAAATTTATAATAATTCAGTACTCAGAAGAAAGTTAAGAGACTTGTTAGAAACAGGAATAACAAAATGTAAGGGGAAGACGCAACGGTAGTAAATCGAGTTTCTTGTTTGAATGCTTTATTATTATTATTATTGTTATTATTTTTATTACCATTAGTACTAGTAGTACATTTTTTGGTTAACTACCGTTTCGTGTATATGTGTGGATGTATTTTTTGTAATATTGAATAGTCATTGAATCTTACACATTTCCAACATCTTCCTGCTACCGTTTTTGTTGTTACTTTGTTGCAAAATTAACCAGCTAGAACCTGGTGTTGCCCTACCTCCGCCTGAAAAACTTAAAAGAAAAATCCTTATCAAAAATAAACGTTTGAAACCGGAAGCTGAAAAGCGTAAGTTTTTACTATTATTATTATTGTTATTATTATTATTATTACTGTCATTATTATTTTGCCCAATCTATTCTTGTTGGTAATGATGTTCAGTTTTTTATTTTCCTTGTCATTATGATTGTTTCTTGGGTATATTTTTTTGACTAGTAATATCAAAATGTTTTATGAAATGAATATTAATGTACGGTGCTGGTTATTTATGAATCGATACAAAGTATGCTGATCAGTAGATGATGATGCTGAATGATGCCATTTAGCCACCTCTCCAAATGATGTCTTGTCAGCGAGACTAGAATTTATCGACGAATCAATAAGATTTAATACAAGTTTTGAATTTTGACAAGATATTCATTCATCTATTTGGCTAAATAGCCAAAACACTAACTGAAATTCCTAATCCTAACTTCTACCTCTTAATCTTAATCCTAATTCACTACACTGATCTATTATCCTCTTTTGACTCCAATAAGTAGACGAATTTTCTCAAGGTCACTTTATCGTCTCTCAGATGTTGTCCATAAATTATTGTCCCGTCCTATTATCAAATAACAATATGACTGGTCAGAAAATAAGTTTTCGTTTTAAGAAAAATTCTTTTATTCTTGTTGGAAATAATCACAATCAAAGTATAATCTAAAAGCCATTTGTAAAGTAAACGATTACAAGTTATATTAGTTTCGCATTATCTGTAATATAGGTAGGTGGTAGACTGATTCAAATTAAAAGGGAATTTCCCTATTTGCATTCCATTGTAGTGGCTGTGCTTCGTTGACCAATCACCCTCGTAGTCGTTGTCATATAATCCTCAACGGTGTTTGAAATCAGGAGGCAAAGGGAAGCAGCGACTACAGTTTTATTAGCAGATAAGTCAGATCACAAAGCAGAGAGGCAAATGAGTGAGTCAGCGAATCGAAAGAGTAGAGTGTGTATGTTTAAATGTACATGTATATATATAGGGAAATGAATGGATCATCGAATCACTTAATCAGCTAATTATAAAGCTGACAGAATGAATAATATGCGTAGGCGGTAAGCAATGTTCAAGCATACATATTTCATACAAGCACAACAATAATGAAGGCACAAGAAGTTGTTATAGTACGGATGACTCTGTCCTCTAAATAAGCTAACAAAAGCACTTGACCGAATTAAATGAAAACAAACTCAATTGCATGTGAGGTGCTATACCATTACAAAAACATTTATCAACTCATTAATTCATCTTAGTCAAGACATATAAAGTAATTAGTCCATTTTATAAATTTTGATTGAGCAATGAGTCGACTTAGTTGTTCTAAAAAATGTGATATAATCACGTTACTTTAAAGTTGTTAGTTTTAGTTTAATAATTTTAATTTTAAATTAGGAACGTTGTCCTTTTTTTTTACTGTCTCATTATTTTTGTTAGTATTTCTATATGTATCCAGTAAGTTGTTTGTTCTAACGCCAAAAATAACAGATTTGGCATCTGAACTAATCTCTTTCCTTCTAATTCAGTTCACAATGCATTTTGAATTGCGCTTAACTCAATCTGCACATTCTTGTTTAAAATAACCATTGTATTGATGTATGTGATTTTTAGTTGCAAATTATTATTAATTTAACCATGTTAGTACAGATAAACAACAGATATATTACTTTGTTTTCCATCTGTTTTCAACTGCAGAACAGAATTCATTTACATTTAAAAGTTCATTAACAAAACAGAATGATTTTTCTTTTTAGCTTAGATTAATTTCTTTACGAAAAAAATAATTAGTTAACTGAAACTCAAATAAACCTTTTTACAATATCAGGATAATGCTTTACACGTTTTTAATGGTGTGTTGAAATGACATTTTTATCTTCATTGATGTAGAAGAAGTAGGTCATTTCAATTTTGGATTGTCACTTTCAAATGATCAAAAAAAATTATATTGTGATGTTAATTCTAATTGATTGGCTCACTCCTTTTTTTTTTCTTGATTACCTCAATTGAACTGTGGTTACATTGCGATTTTTATTAAGTATTTTTTTAAATAAAAATCTATTGGATTATTACGATATGTTAAGAATAATTTTCCTGGCCAGTATTCATAAAAACTCTTTTCTTTGAGTAATAATATTTATTCTAAGATGTAGAAGGCATGTTTAGTTTGCTCTGTTGAACTAAACAGTGTCGTTTCATTAGCGTTATAAACTTTTATATAAGATTACATTCTGTGTTGGAGAATTGTTGTAAACGCGAACTTTGGTCAGATTCATGAGGTTTATTCATGAAAAACTGTTAACAACATACATAGGAGCCTATAATATGTTAGTATAGTTTTCTGTTTGTTTAGACATTTTTGCTTATTTATTTTATCTTTTCATTGTGTGAAGCTGAGTTTATTGGAATGATTTTTTTAAAAATTCAGCTACCAGAACTTTTAAAATATTTGTCGTTTTTTGTGTAGATGACGTTTAAGCATCATGTGTAAACTATTTCAATTAGTAGAGTGAATATATAACGTTTTTTTATTTTTTGACACGGTAACGTCACAGTTATTTAATTTAAGTTCTACGTTTGTCTCAACAAATCGAACATGGTAACTCGATCATTTTTCACGATGACTAAAAATTAAGCCTAATGGCAAAACAAATGTGGTTTTTATCTTCAACCACTAATGATGCATTTTTAGGGTATAAACATTAGTATAAAAAATCAGTGAATATTTTAGGTGTTATCGAAAGATGTGCTCAATGTATTCAAGTGGATGGTTATTTCGTCTAAATATATGAAGATATATCATACTGAGAAACTAGTAATAAAGTGATCACTTGAACTCATTCTTATTAAAAAGTTAATCACTGCACTAAATTATTGGCTTTTACAATCATCCCTAAGCAATAATAACTAATTATATCATTTTAAAATGATTCAAATGATTGGGCTACAGGTTTAACCATTCCAGTTGGGAAAATGTGACAAACTGTCCATTAATGCGGTAGAGGGTGTGAACGATAAATTTCAACTGCAGTTGTTTTAATTTTATTCAAAAATCAAAATCTATTATTCTGTAGGTTTCTTATATCCGTTACTTCTAACCTGTTTTGAATATCGGAAAAAGAAGATAATTATAAAGATTTTAATGTTTCATAGATGATTTATAGATGTTTCTCTCAAACTTTAATGTTTATATTTTTCTAACTGTTCTCATAATTACTATAATTTGTCAAAAGTATATATTTCAGACATATATGAAATGAGTGTGTTCATAAAGTAATTGATTTTTGAACTATGTTGTGTTGGTAGGTGCAGACCAACCGAATACGTTTTACAGGATTATCGTAAACGATACTCAGAAACGTTTGATGACATAGACCAGGATCGATTATGGTCGTGCAGATCTAGTCACTTTTGATCTTTCTGTTAAATCTTGAATTTTATAACTATTGTGTGCTGTTTATTCTGGAATTCATTTTTCTTGTCAAATCATATTGTAAATGCCTAGTATTTTCTACTATAAGTACTGTAACTTTTGCTGCTTCTACTACTCCGGCATTTGTCCTGAAAAATCCATCTCTCAGTCCTGGTATGGTATGGTAATTTGGATCTATGATCGTATGTGTCAAGTTCTGCGTTGTGTATAACTAACCATGGATATTAGCTACTTTAAAATAACTAACCTGTTTTATTTTCACTGCTTCAGAGTGCTGATGAATAATTACCCCTAGATGTACTACAAAATTGGAGAAATATTTTAAAAAAGCATTCGACATTGAATACAAATTTATGGGATACATATTTTTATTTAAACAGTGTTACTCATGTATCTAAACATTTTATTTTCTGAAATAAATGTTTATATATTTTCAGGTTATATTTACAAAATGGCAGTACTCATGTTGTATGAGTTGTAAAAAGTTGTTTTGAAATAGTTTAACGGATTTTTCGTAACTGTTGTACAGAAATTTAATTAAGACAGGTTAATATACAGCGTTACTTTACATATTTTATTGCATAAATCAAAAAATAACTCAATTGAAAAGAGAAGTAGTATAATTTATTTCCCTGGTAACAATCTCATTCAATATCTCTTCTTGTCAATTTATTCTCATAAATTCCAAATTTTTTAATTAACTTGAAAGAAAAATGGTAGAATACTTATTTTTATTAAACATTTATTCATTATTTATATTGTTTTTCGTTCCCTTTCATTGTTATTACTCTTTAACAACAAACTGCTTATGTTTATTGCTTTCGTTCTTTTCTGATCATTTTTCAGAACAATTGGACTTATTTTTAAAAGGTCAAACTGATGCTATTCAAGAAGAAAATGAAGTCACTGAAGATCCGGATTTAACAATTGATAGAGATGGTAAGATTTTGCGTGCATTCAGTACTTAACGCATATATATATATATATATATATATATATATATATATATATATATATATATGCGTTATTTTTACTTTTTCATGTTCATAAAAGACGTTTAGTAAATATATTTAGCTCATAACCAACTGTAACAAAAGCAGGCCTTTTGTTTATTATTAGTTGATTTTGCTTAAAGTTACCTTTTCCCATCAATTTTAATTTTAGACCATATTTTAAACTTAATTTTTTGATGACTCAGAAGATTCGTATCATCGGTTGTAGCATTTATTTGTAAAATGGCCTGTTTTTGACCAAATATTCATATAAATTTGATTCAGTTTCAGTCAAAATTGTTGTGTTTGCCTTGAATGAGTTGAGACTCATTTACCTTTATTAGATCAATTATTGCTTGAATACCTGAGTAAAGTCAAATTCCTCGCGCTTTGTTGATCCCATAATGTTATGTTTATGTCATTATGGACTTATGGTGTTCACTACAGTGTTAATTGGAGATTTTGGGTACAGAACTTTAATCTGGTAGAATTTGTGAATTACACAATTTTTCAAGGTCGTCGATTTTATATATGATCCTTGTTCCAAGTTGCATTCTGACATTTTGTAATCAATTAAATAATCACTATACATGGTTTCTGCTTTTAGTTAAAATGACTTAAAACTAGTCAGTCAACAGTATATCGCATTGACATCCTTGATTAAATCGAGCAGATTGTGAATGGTACCTCTTGAAATTCAAAACAAATAAACAGTGGAGGATAGCATGTATTATATTAAAAATAAAAATAATCCATAACTAGTTCCTAAACTTTGTAAAATTGATGAAAGTATCAACTATCCAAACACACATTAAGTAGTAGATGATAAAACAAATTACAAGAAACACCTGTTCTAAATTACAGATTGTACGTGGGCTTACTTGATACAATTCAAGGCATAGACAGGAGTGTTTTTCTGATAAAAATTATTCTGTTTCTCTAGAATCCCGAAATTTCTTAAAATTCTTAACAATTTCATTCATAAATCTAGCCAAATTTCTATTACTTGATCCTAACTAGAATACGTTATTCAATATATAAACGTTCAGTAATCATTTTATAATTTCATCCATTGAAATTAATTAACTTTCCTTGTGAATCGTTGATAATTGACTCAGCGCCGTCAATGAAGTATACTTTTACCGTTAATGAAATAATTATGATCTACTCATTGTTTATCTTCCGCTAGATCTTAAACATACTTTTATTTATTTATAATTAACTCATTACTACATCTCTTACTTTTCTCAGTGTTATTTCCTTCACTTCGTTGTTAATCTCTTTGAACTATGGTAATATGGAGTGGTCAAGCACAAAGACTTAAAATACATACTTGTTTTTCGATTCCACTCGTAATGCCTGTCGATTTCTTTGAAAAAGCAAACTATATTTTTTAAAATGTAGTACTTGGTAAATTGTACATGTTACTGTAGGCACATTTTTTTCTACGTAGGTTAGTTTACTATAATGAAATTCGTTTATAGGATTGTTTTCTTGTAAAATAACTGGTATAGTAAATATCACTTTATTTTGGCTTTTTCTTTCTTTTCATAATACACACAAGTTTGATAAACAATAATTACAGACAGCTGTCTACGAAAAAAGAGAACATTAGACTAAATTAGTTGTAGAGATCATCTTGTTTTCTTTTTCTTGATATCTAACCATATTGTAATTGATGATGGTTAGTGTTATTTTTACGTGTTGTGCGTTAGATTACCAATGATTGAATAAGCTGATAAAAAAGTACAATGCTATAACTAAAGGATATTATGTTTTTTAATGTATAAATGTCAACGCCTCGATAGTTTACTATTAATATTGTTCAAATGAAATAGAAAAATAATACACAATTGGAAACTGACTTAATATATATATATATTAATATGCTTAAAAATATGTTATCTGTTTATATTGAATGGGAGTGGAGTATCATGTAGAGATTATTGAATATTATTGAGAGCGCGAAACAACTTACGTTAAATAATTATTGAAAACTATGAAGCTATGGATAACTGTTTAGTATTCTTCACTTATGCTCACTCACGATCTCATTGTGGAACACACATACGATTTTCAGATTTCAGAGCCTGGACGTTACATCTAAACCACTGATCCAGTATATTGACAGCCTAGTATGATTTATTATTGGGTCATTTATAATATCGAGAGGTTTTTTCTAATTGATATGTTATTCCATTGGTTTTTTTCAACTCCTTGTAAAGCATTGCTAATGTTACCTGTGGGTTTACGAATATATTGTGAATGCAATTGTTTTTTTTCTTTCAATTTTAATTAAAAAGAACTGTTTCATTAATTCTATTCCTCATATTTTAGTTTAATTATTCTTTGGAATTTATCAATGGATTTGCATATTTATAAACATATTGTTTTTTAAAAACTATCAGATAGATTTATGTATAATCATGTTTATTTATAGATGGTGATGGATGCTCGGCGAATAAAGCAAATAATGGCGAGTTCACAGCGACCACTACTACTACTGGCTCCGGTGGTGGGGGTGAAACTGTAATATCTCTGAATGCAACACCTACCCCACAGTTGGTTAGTTGTACTTCCAGTGCTGAATTGAAAAGACTACAGTTAAAGAAGGTTTGTGTTAATAACATGATGATTATTTGTTTTCGTCTCTATATTAACTTTGACGTTATCTTTGTTCTTATTTATACTCGTTAATGTTTATTCTTTTTTTTATTTACAAATCTTCCTTGAGTTGTCCTTTGCACACTCCATCATTCTTCCAACCCTGTTATTATTCTGATAGGCCTCTGTTATCCTTCATTTCTTTATTTCAATCTTCTTGTAAGCATTCCACTTCTAATTACTGTTACTTACTACTTATATCTGTCCGCGTAAGTAACGCACACCACAATAGTAGTATTTGTTGTTTTTTCAGCTGTTTTGATGGATTCGATATGACTTTAAATTGTCATTAAGTTAGATTGTAAATATTTTCTAGTTTATGAGTCAGTCAGTCAGTTACAACGTAGGACCAGGTACATATATGCATCGGTATAAGTTGCCATACTTCATTAGCATAGCAAGATGAACACCGGATGCATAGAAATAGTTAATTCAATGGTGGTAATATATAAAAGAAAGATTGCATATAAGGATATTGTACAGGAAGAAAGAATTAGTTCATAGAAAGAACGATATGAAAACAATGTACAATATATATTTATAAATATAGATAGTTTTTATTCGATTTCTTATCCTTTTTATTGATCTTACATTAATAATAATCATAATGATTGTTATTGAAATTACTGATCGAACATTGCTGGTGGTCAATGTACTAATGATACATGTTTACCTTATTCATGGATCTGATACAAAACTCATATTTATGGACTATCATTGATTGACACATCTATCTCTCCAATACAGGAGGAAGTAAGTTATGCTTGTATTTGAATATTCATTGAATATCTGTTATTATTATTACCAACATGATATTGTTGTTATTTGTTCAGTTTGATAGTTTTGATAAATATAACAAATTGGATTGTTATCTAGTTAGCTTGCCTGAAAATTCCAATTTTCCCAATTTGTCCGTTATAGCTTCAATCAATCAGATATACTTTTTAAAATTACTATTCTAAGGTATATTATTGGCATGTTAGAAAATATTTATCAAACAAATCACAGTGTTTGTGAAATAATGTTATTTATTTTGTATTTTGTACGAGATTTTTTTAAATAAGTTAATCTCAATTAGTAATATAATATCGGTTTTAGTGTTTCTTTTTTTAAAGCATATTTGAAATACTATTGTAGATCGTGTTTTTCTTAGACGGCATGACATTTTCTACTTCGTTTAACCATAATTTATGTTTTAATCATATTTTTCGTTGTGAAAAAGTTTTGTATGATCAAGGTCCATGATGAGTGAACTCTGAATGTAGAAGAAATGTATTAGTTGTTAGTATTTGTTCATAAGTGTTTTTAGAATTCTGTTGGCTAAAACAGCTTTAATTTAGCTACCGGTGATAAGTACTAGCGAATCAGTTATTATTGTTGTCAACTTTAATCTACTTAAGTGGCTGGAACACTTTTTACATATATCATTGACAAACTATTCTAATATTTTGTGCTTAATACAATAAGATGAGATTAAACACGCATAGACAAACATAGGTGTTATTAGTGAAAACAAAAACTGGCAGGCTTCTTACTCAGCATAGTACATAAAAAATTGCAAGATTTTCCTATCAATTATGTGATTCATCAGTTGCATATCTATAGTATTTTATCTTGAAAACAGGCTTAATATATCAGTTTTATCAGTTATCGATACTTTCTCCTCGCCAACTGGGAATTTTTTCTGGTCAATTTTGGGTCGTACTGTTTATGTGAGATTTAGTGATGTTGCGTAGCCACCTAAATCAAATTTGATCAGGTAAATCAGTTCAAATTTTCGAGTAACTTGTTACGAACTGATTACTTCATGCGTTGAATCAATTTTTTTAAACGAGGAATCAACTGTATGACTTGCGCATTACTCTTGTATTATTATTATTAGTCAGAATCTAGTATCAACATCCCACTTAGCTATGACACAGCCTGTTTTGAAACATTCGTCATCAGACCAATGTCTCATTGAATATTACTTACAGTGCAGTTATTATGATTGCTTGTTTTTTTCATTTAATATAGGGAAATTTAACAGCTGAAGAAGAACAAATAATGATGGCTCATTATCATTATACTGGTGCAACAAGTAGTATACACCCATTATTATCATCGTTTGTTAATTATGCACAACCTGTAAAATTTCAAGGATTTGATGTCGCAGAAGGTAAGTGGGGAAACATTGATTCCAGTCATATTGTTATTTTATGAATTCTAACGTTTTTTTATAGATGTGCAGTTGGTTAGTGAAAAAGATGAATTATAAATAAACATTTTTATCGTGTGTTCTAGTTTCCAATATTCATAGTCTGGTCTTAATAAGATCATCATTAAAAAACAGGAAAAACCAGATAGCTGTTTCGAAAACGTAACAGTCTAGTCCAATGAGCCAAGTAAATCGTTGACCGGCGGAGTTCACTCATATTGGTTGTGATGCAGTTATCCCCTGCAAGCAATGGAAGATAGTCGTGAAAAATCATGAAACGATCAAAATTTGACATGTGTACCATTAGATGTTAAATCTGTGATTTAGAGTTCATCACAAGATCTGAACGTCATGAGCTCTTTTTTCGGTCTGGTCGTCAATATGTACTTCAGAGTAGTCCCTTTGAAAATTCCATAATTTCAAAACACCGCTGTACTTATAATATTTTCGATTATTGACAGCTTGAAATTTTTTTACTTGTAACAAAATATTGAATTTCTTTTTCATGATATTCATATTGTATAGTATAATTTCACTGACCTACAAACTAGTGCTTACCAGTTATTCTGTACTTTAAAAATAATTATAACATAATTATATATCCTGCTTTTTCTGAATGAGTATTGTGAAACTGTTTAAGGGGTAATATAATTAAATTGTATTACTCAAAATTAAGCTTGCAATGTACTGATTAGAGTTAGCAGTTATCAGTAAATCAATTATTATAAACCTAAGGGATTATTACAAATTCTTAGCCGTATTATCTAACAACTCCAACCATTGTTTTATGATATATTTACTCTGACGGTAGCCTAGTAGTCTATAGTTACTCAAACAACACAATCCAAAAGAAACTGACCATATTGATATTTATTTTAGTAGGTCCATATAATTATATTTATATATATATATATATTGCATAATATCTAACTTATTGTTTTGTAAATAATTCAATGATATACTGACTATATGATTGATTATTATATTAGATTTTCATTTATGTTAAAGTGGATAGTTTAAGATAAATTGTTTTTACAAAATGTGAAAATAATTTAAGATTGTTTTAGAGAATTGAAAAAAATATTCTAAAATTAATGAATTTTCTTGTTGTTACTGTTATTTTATTTATATCTACATTAAATCAGGTGGATAATAGAAGAATAGGTTTTTCTCTTTTTGTTTCAAAATGTTTATCCTTTATTATTATTATTATTATTATTATTATTATTATTATTACTATTCAAACAAAATACATCAATTCTTTTTCATTTGTTTGAAATATAATCATTACGTTTCCACTTGGGTTAGTGGCGATTATTGAAGTTCATTGGTATCATAAATCGATCTAAGTTAGACCACAGTTAAAAACCTGGAAGCACTGGGCACCTGTTTCGTCCCAGCATGGGACTCCGCAACCGTGCCCATTCAGGGTCTCACATGAACGACCTGAACCCATGACCTTCGGTCTCACGCATGAACGCTTGACCTCTAACATCAAACGATGTTAATGTCATCATTATTCACTGTTGCTTTTAGAATTAGCGTAAGAAACCAGTTACATAATCTATTATTAGTAATTTATTCTTAAGTTTGTAATTAAAATGCAATGAACAGAGTGCCATTGAAGAGATATTACAGTAATGTGATGTGATGTTCACAAAAGTATACTGTTGATGTAAACGTTTAATTAAATTGATGTTAGGAATGGTTGACAGTTGGCTGGTAGTATTGGCTTCTGTTTTATCCTACGGTCAGTCAAATATCACGTGGCAATATCGCCAATCATCCTTCTCCGTATGAATCGTATATTTCAGACATACCTGGTTTATAAACAAGCAGATCAGACTGCATCACACCATGAAATGAAAAATAATAATTATATAAGATCAAGTAGAATGTTGCTGTGAGTGTAGGAGACTGTAACTAATAGATTGGAAATAAATTACGAATGGAAAATTATATAACATTAGCCAACGGGTCAAGTAAAAGCAATTAGAATATATATATATATATATATATATATATATATAAAACTAGTTACTTATTAACTATCCAATAAGAATGTACATAATAGTAGTCCATAAATGATTCCTAGCTGTAAGCATTCATTCTTCGTTCGTATATAACAGTTTCTACGTTTAACAATGTAATACATTTTTATATAAAGTTGTAGACACAAAAATAAGTGTGTTTTTGGATATCAGTTGGCAAATGAACAGTTGTAGGGTTTAGTAACTAATAAGCCATTGAATACCCCAATGAAATTATCACGTTTCAATCTTCCCTTGTCCTGTCATACATATTCATTTTGTAGTAACTGCTAGTCATTCTTCTTGTAATCGTAGTAATAGCAGAAGTGTACTGGGCCGATCGTTATGTTGAAGTTTAACGTATTCGTTCTGATAACGTGTCCCCGGGGAATTCTATATCTCTATCCCACCTTTCTTAACTTATGTTAATGATTTATTTTGTTTTTATAAAACAATTTCTTTTAAATTTATTTTTATATATATATATATATATATATATATATATATATATATATATATCTGTTTGGATAAATATTTACAGATTGTTGTTACTTTAGTTCAGTTTAAAGAACAATAACAAACTATCCATTTCAACAAATCATATAGTTTCTTTTCTTCCAGTTTGTTTATCGGTTTATAGTTATATAGAAAAGAAGATAATTTTCACATTCATTCGCTTACTAACCAAACCTTTTTCTTCATACCAATTGCAATGCGTTTTTACATTTTAACTATTTGATTTGAAAATACCACTAAACGGAAACAATTTGATGTTGTGTCAGCGTTCCGTTTTCTTTTTTTCTCTCTAAACAACCACTTATATTTTGCATTACTATCCTAGTTTTCTATTTTATTGATGTGCTAATCTTTGTAAAATTATTTGTTGCAATTTTTCATTGTTAAGAATAGTAGGAGGATTTTTATCTGTTAAAATGATAGTTCTATGTACCTGTGTAGTGAGCGCAAATTCAGATGGGGACTACCAAATGTATTTTAATACAAAGCATAGAGTTTTTTGGTAAAAAGTAAAAACCATACGTTCAATACTTCATGTGCAAATTCTCCATCAATTATCTTAAGCTCCACCGTTCTTGTACTGTCATAGCAATTACTCTGTGTCCCTGTTATATTCGATTCGATCTTTACAACCGTCTGCTACCAGGTATTCCTCTTCTGATTGGTGCTATATACTAATTATGTCAACATAAGTTGCATACATCACACCTGTATATATGTGTGTGTGAGGATTTTCACATTTGGAAAATTATCGTTATTAAAAATTGTGATAAATTTGATTTCTGGTAGTTGTAAACTATTTTTTCCAAGGAATTGAGAAATCTTTTTGAAATATGAGGAAATACTGTATTCATTGTTCATGAAAGGTGTGTCGTAATTGTCGGGACAAAGTGAATAATTACGTCATATGGTGGCAAATGAGAAAAATAAAATGGTTTTTCTATTTGACTTGAAGTGTTTAATTTCCTGACTAAATGTCCTAAAAGCACTTGAAGTAGTACGAAGAAATTTTCTCTTTAGGAATCAAAGTTTACGGTCTAACTAAGCATTGAGACTTAGTGAATGAAACGAAACGTATACACATAATTATTATGTTAAAAAGCACTCGAGTGCGAAAATGAACAATTAATGATTAGTATAGGGGTCCTGTAGAAATCGTCAATTTATTTTAGTTCACGTCACTTGCTGTTCTTACTAGGATGGAACAGCTGTCCGTCGCGTTCTGGTTTTCAATAGTCGTCTAACAAAGATCAGTCCATGATATCAATCAAGAATATGAATAATAACTATTAAATTAAGCTCTTAGCTGTGGAACATTTGTAAAAAGAATTTTCTGTAGAAAACAGAAAGTTTCTGAAAATATGTTTTCATGTGAGGGATATGTGAAGTCGTATTGTTCTAGTAATATAGAAGTGTGTACTATTTTGCATATGTGTGTATTTTGGTGTTTTAATGAACCAGTCATTCGCAGGTTACCTTAAGTAAAATGTTTAGCTGTACGATGAATCGTATCAGTTAATATTTTTATCTACATATGGTATGTTACTTCATATATTCACTTGTTTTTCTACACTGAAACTGATTACTATCATTACAAGCTATAGTTATCGAATTTGTGGCATTGTGAACACTTGTGCTAGATATTTTCAGTGAACATAAATATTCACTTTAAAACAGTTGATGGTACACCTAATTACCGTAATCACAAAATTGAAATAGTATACTCTTCCTTTTTGGAAACTTAGTGGTATGGCTCAAAATGGTTCAAAAGTGTCGTAGATTCATTCACTCTTTATCTTTCTATCTTGAATTCTAGTATCCTTTCATGCATACTTTTCCATCTTCACACATACAATCCACGCGGCTTAGTCCTAATTTTTATCATTGCCACAACAATACATCAAGCGATTTTTATTATTTTCATCTAATCATGTTCAGAAAACATGGTATCTTGAGTTAATCTGCATCTATATCAAGTACTATGTTGCTTATGTCTATCTCTGTATTCTTAATCTTAATATTTAAAGTCGGATATTGTAATTTGTATAAATTAAATGTTATGCAATGAATATTTTCAAAATTAACAGCAATTGTATTTTAATCACTATATAACAACTAGTGCAATACATTGAAAATTTATCACTTACTGAAATCAACATGGGTGAATGTTTACACATCATAAATAAATATCATTTAAATGAAAAGTTCCTTATTTCACTTAACATACCAAGTTCATTAAATTGATTTTGCATAGAATTCTGAACTTATAATTCTAAAACGAGCTATCATGCTCTCTATGAGATAATAAATTTCTCAACCTTACCCATTAGATGATCACAGATACTTATTATTAAAAAGTCCTATACTATAACGAAACAATCCTCAAGTAGTTTCTTGATATTTAGTATGTGTCTAACTGAAGCGAACCCGTAACATAAAATACTTATTGACTTAATTTGATCGTCACTTTAATGTTCATCTTATTTTCCAATGACCCCTTTTTACCTAATTTAAATTACACAAACATATTACTTGAATATAGTTGCTAGTAGGAAATGAATAATTTTTTTAAATTTCAGTTTCGTATTTTAACCTTGATATAATATTTTGACTGAGTATATACTTTAATTATTTTCTTTATTCTTACATAAATTGTATACATATTCAACTTCACTTACTTGTTTAGACGAGAATATTCATCATCATATGTCTTCATTCAGTGAAACAGTGGCTTTGGGATTGTTAAAGAATCAAGCGATAGAATTTGTCAAGTATCCTATTTACTTGATAAGAAAACAATTTTATGTCATTATTGTCATTTTATTTTGTTTTGAAAACAAAAGTTTATCGAGTGTTTTTATAGTATTTCTGTTAATATTTGCACACATCTACGTTGTTATTTGTAAGGTTTTATTTTAGAAATGCATGTTATATGGTTATCTATTATTTATCGGAATGTTTCAACTAATTTTAATAACAAGATGTATATTTGTACCTTGGAGAACATTTATTGGTATTAATGTTACAGACCATTGTCTAATATGTTTAAATGTATCAAATGTACTTCTGTGTATTTGTGTATTTATTTACCGTCAGTATATATTTAGATAGTTTTATTTATTTATCCTACAGACGTAAACTTGAGAAAAAAAGACATTGAAATACCTCTAATATTAACATTCAGTATGACTTTTAGGACAAATATTGTTTCTTTTTTCTCCAGTGATCCACACATTTTACTAACATACTGTCTTATTTGATATTATATTTGGTAATTACATTATATTATCTGAAGAAGACTTCATATCATAAGTTATTAATAAAAGCCAGAGGCTAAATGAATTCGTCTGCTAAATTCATACATATCAATGTCGATCTAAGGCATTTGTATAAGTAGTTATTGCAACTTTTATACTAATTACGAAGTTCACCATCTGTCACAGTAAAACAAATATATTATTTCAAATTTATTAGCAAATGGTAATAATCTATTTTCATTTATGTAATGACATTTAGTAACTAAATCGTCTTTTTCATTTAGACGTTTTTTATAGTAAAAGAGTTAGATAAATCTAATTATATTGTTCGTTGGAAGCTATACAAAAATAGTTTCAAATCTAGGCATTGTAATAGTTGAAATTCACCTTGCCTGGAATACTGGAATGGTAACGTTTGTGACTGTGATGCTGAATAACGAGTGCAGTACCTGTTTCCTTATATTTAAGCCATCCTACTGATTACCTCTTATCATCTAACATTCAAACGTAATGCGTCCTACCTTGATACATTAATATTAGTGATGAAATTGTCATTGATTAGTGAAATTAGATCAATATTACAATGTAGGTAAATTTAACATTAGTTGTTACTCAGTAATAAGTCAATGTGAAATCCAGCGATTTCGCAAATAAATGAATTACTTTAGTTATGTCAAAAATATTCCATAAAAGTCTATTATAAAGTGATCATAACTGAGTATTAATATTTTAGGAAATAAAATTCAGTTAGGTCGTTATTTTAAAGATAGTACAATGTCATATTTGTTTGAATATTTAAATAATCCGTTTGACGTTGATAAAAAAGAAGGGGAAATTTGAATATTCTTTGGTTTTATGCATCATTTCATTTACGTAATAATGATAAGTAATTGATTTGACTGATTTTTTTCCTCATCACTCAATAACTATTACTATTATATACCTAATTTCCAGTTGACTTGTAATCTACTTTAAATAATCCATCATTTACCGTTTATGGGGAAATTATGTAGTCTAATAAAATTGGTTAATAGTAGTAGTTTGTTCAATTTACTAAATGATAACTTTTTACTGTTATCATTATATATGGCATAAAATTTTAGTTATTGTTATGTTGTGCAGACTTTACTTAAGTAATCCATGTACACATTTATTAATGCAATTCATTGAATTGTTTCGTACAATTTACTTACAGCATGCATATATGTCGTATATACATACATGTGTTTTAGATGATTTAGTTACTATTATTTGTTTTGCCTTTCTCATATTTTGTAGCATGTATTATTATATACTAACAGTTGTATTGTGTTTCTGGTCTCTATTTGTTGTAGTTCGTGTTCGAATTGTTTTTTCTTTTCTGTTTTCTTTACATTCGTTCAGCTAGTAATATAAGTCATCATATGTCTTCATTCAATGAAAGTATCGCATTGGGCCTGATCAAGAAACATTGTATTGCATTTGTCAAGTACCCCCTTTTTTTACCTTTCGTAATGCCGTGCATTTTTATTTAATATTGTTTCAACATTCATCATTTTCATGTTGTATTGCTAGCTGTGCTTATTTCCAATGCATGTGGATTAGTTAGATTTTGTTCATTTGAATTTGTTTTTTTTAAAAGCATCTATGTTTTGCAATAATATTCAATGTCTTTTTCTTTTGCTAAATCTCCTATTAATTTCAACCTTAACATTGACTATTATAATGAAAATAAACAGTTATAATAAACGTCAAATGAGTAGAATTTATCCTAGAGGAAATCGTGTCGATTCAAGCAATTACATGCCACAAGTAAGTCAATTCGAAGTAATTTCTTTTTTTTCAAATATCAAAATTTCATAGGTTTTATACTGTATTATGATGAGCTTTTTATTGTATTATGTTTTGTCTATTGAGATATTTGCTTAACTTAACTACTTATACAGCCAATATTTTCATAGACACCAATGTAGGTTTTATAAATCTATCTCGTTTATTTTTACCTTTCATTCCTGTATCAGTAGATTAAATCAATTTAGTTATCTAGACTTCTACAATGTAGATTAGATTATGGTATAAACCACTCAGAATATTTTAACTATAAGGGTAAATGATGTGAAAGGAATAATTACTGGCTAAGCATTTCGAAATCTATTTTAAATTACAAATAATGTTAGTTAATGCTTACTATCCCTTAGCTTAGTCATCATGACAAAAGCTCTCAAATTTAGCCAAGAAGAATCGTCTGTGAAGGGCTTTCGTACCTTGTTCCATCTCAGCAGACCAGCTGGTACATATGTACTGAACTGGGTAAGCACATTAACTGATCTCTCATATAGAGGAATATAAGTATCTCCAGTGCGTAATATGAACAACTATACTTCTCAGATAATAACCAATGTCAAATTATGTTTATTTATTCAGCGTTAATTCGATTTTCATCTCTTATTAGTAATAATAATATGAACATGAATAAGTTGGTCCTTCCCTTTTTTCATTCATTCAGTTTATTCATCTTCTCTGCTCTTTTTCCTATTCAAAACGTGTTTTTACTGATAAATGATGACCTCACATTTTTCTTTTAATGCAATCTATTAAGCGAATTAAAGTAGAGAGGAAAATTGATTACCAGTGTTATGATCAGTTGTTGTTGTTGTCGTCGTAAAATTTAACCTAATTCAATGATCTTCTCTCTCGTTGAATTAAAAATCTCGCTATCATTTCTCTTTCCTCCCTTCTCCGCTCATTGTCTTTTTTCTAGTGTGTATGTATGTAAACTGATAACCTTGAGAAAGGTGAAAAAACAATTCATGTAGAATTAATTTATCATTAATTGAATAAATATGTCATGAACTATGTTGATTGATAACTGGGTTATTTTAAATATTTGCATAGATATTTTACTTGGAAGTTACAAAATATGTATTTTTCTGATTTATTTCTAATATTATCATACTTTTATAAGGATTTTTCATTTTGCAATGATCGTCTGTTGGTTATCGATGTGAGCATTTTTTCGGTGTTTTTGGACACCGAGTTGAGTTATTGAACTTTGTGAAACTTTTATTGCTGATTCACTTCGGATAAAAATAAACTTTTTTTAATTTTTCTCCACAAACAGTAAATCAATTTGTATGGATGACATCAATTGTGGTTGGTTGTTTACATTGGTTTTTGCTGTTATTGTGTTTTGTTGTGGATAAAGATACAATTATATTTTGGGGCAGACGTTAATTGTAGAATGTAGTACATGTGTTTATTCCAATTGATCTTCTGCTGACTGTATCAGTATGCTGGTTTAGTGTTCTTACTCAGCCTTGTGCTTACCATTTCATGCACATGACTACAATACTGAGTTATGATACTTGACATACATTGTTAATTATTCGAATATGATTCAAGTGATAAGTCGATAAATACGAAACCCCTAACGTCTTTCTTGGATAATTTGTACATGTAGAACTGTACTACACTCTGTTGAATAATAATAATAATAATCAACAAAATTACTGCAAGCCAATAAACAAATGAATAATTCGTATATTAGAAAACAGCATAAGGAAGCAAATAGAAAATTTTCAATTTACTATTCTGTTATCTTATTTTCTATAGTAAGCAACTAATTGAATTAAATATCTTTTAGAGAGCAAGAACAAAGATTGGTGCTTGCTCTCTTTAAGATAATAAAGGGAACTATGTGTATTAAAATAACTTTTACTATTGTCAGTTAACATTTGCCATCAGTAAATCATGATTAAGTTGGAATTAATAACTTGCGTGTCTTTTTCGCCCAGGTCAAGCATTCGAAAATCTTTTTTCGTAATTATCATCATTATGATAAGGATCCAGAACAACGCACTAATTATAACAACAACAACAACCATAGTTTGTAATTTTTCTATTACCTATCCAATTACATTAAAAATAAGGCTGATATTATTATTCCATATGATCATATAAGATATACTGATGGATCAATTTTAGTGTCCGCTATCTGAGTCCATAATGAACAACGATGAATCAAACAAAAAAACACTAGTCTCCTGTTTAATTATTATCCTTAGGCCAACTTCTTTAGGCAAAGGCGATGATCAAAGCCAATGATGAGTTTAATTGCATGGATTTTAAACAAGTATGCTAAATTTCGTTAGAAAAACAGTGTGCTTCACACAATGACGTGTTGTATGAATAACCGAAATTTAATTGACGTTGGTTAATAGGAGGATATTGGTTTTAAGCTTATTCGTTATATACGCTTCCTATACGTAAATACTCATACGTTAATTCAACGGTTTGAATGACGTTATTGGGATTACAATTATCTTAGGAAATATCACCCTCCAGATATCCTTTGGTCATACTATAGTAAACTTTTAACATCTATTTTAAACATACTTCCGCCATTTTATTGTTCTTTTATAAATTATGATAACTGCCTAAACCATCTACTGAATTCATGAAACATGAATGATTACTTTTAAAAAGTGTAATTTTAAAAAAACTTGTTGTTATCCCCATAATTTGCGGTTGTTTATATCTTACATAGTTTAAAGCATTTGACATAAAACTGTGAACTTTAATTTCATGCTGTTTGACGCTCGTCATCAAGGGATACCTGTAAACTTCAGGTTGTTGATGTCCCTTGATATGTTTGAACACTCATCTGGCAGCTTAACATAGCGAGATGTTAGTGCTGAGATTGTCAAGCCAAGACCAATCTCTAGTAGGACTGAAGCATTTACAACTAACTGATTGCTGAATAATGACTAATATCATGTTTATATTTTAAAATGTGTATATTCACCAAATGTATTTAATCAAAACCTACTGTTTTTTAGAATGTTTGAGGAATGTGCTCTCGGTCAACCAATATTTTGAAATGTCAATTATTATTATTATTATCTTATCACGCTTAATTTTTTTAATATTTACTTTCTTAAACGATCGAAAATCGGCTTGAAGTGTCATATAACTGCTAATAAAAGTATTTATTTCTGTTTTCTCTTCATTGCCTCCATAATATTCCACTTCATTTACTGGTTAACATAATCCTTATTTCCTCCAAAAATATTCCTTATCACTTATTCTTTTGTGTATGCGTGTGTTTTAATTACCATGACAGATATTTTGGAACGCTGGTTGCCAAATGGTTGCGTTGAATTTCCAAACTCCTGATTTAGCCATGCAGTTGAACCAAGGGAAGTTCGAATACAATGGTAATTGTGGGTAAGTTATTATACCCATTTTCTTCATTTTTCCTCATGTCTTTTTTATGGTATGGTTTCTTCCCGATTTATAACTCAGACGTATTTTGCTATTCTTCATGGTAAATATTGTTCTAAGTGTACATAAGCGTCAATGGAATACCCTGTTTTCATAACGACTTTGTCGTTGAACGTTTTTAATACTCGATTATGGATTATTACACCATAGATTATAATCCAACTCCTTTAATTGTTTTTTTAAAACAACTGACTAAGTCTCATTAACTTCCATGTAGTAAATATTGACTCAAAGACAAATGAAGGAAATTGTAATTGATTATCATTTTAGACTAAACTGTATGGATGATCATAGAGGGACCAATCTCATTCATTGTATTGTGCCTTCCCGTGGAAATGTTTAGTAAAAGGCGAAAGAGTTATCCACAAATAAGGAGACATCAATCACACATATGCTAAGTAAATTCACAAAACTAACTGATTAAGTATCTGGATTCTTACGAACATTATGGTGGATTTATGTCGTGTTTCACTAATTTATAGTGAGAATTCATTTGTCAAAAAAAAAATATTAATAAGGCATTATTCTTTATAGTACTTGGCATACCAAACAATTGCTTGTTTGTATAAGCTTATGTGTGTCCGCCTTCATTTATACATGACACTTGTACACTGGTTACACACGACTAAGCAACTGATTAAACGGTTGTATTTATTCATCTACATATCGTCAGTGAAGTAATATGTTCTGGGACTTTGTGGCCAGGTATTTCATATATTTTATTTATTTACGTAACGTCATTATTCTTTCTTTTATTTACATGGTTTTTTTAATATCTTCATTAACTATAAACCCATTTTTATGCAATTATTTGATGCTTTCCAAATATGTATGGTTATTTGAAAGTTACCTGAGAATAGGTTATATAATTTGAAAACTCTTTATGCTATCATTGCACATAATTTGAATATTTATTCTTAGCCAATATGTTTCTTTTATTATTGGTTAAGGGGTTTTAATTTTTTCCCTTTGTTGATACTGATGACAACATTTTATTAGTTCCTTAAAGGCATATAGAATTCTTAATCAAATGTCTCGGTATTATCTACAGTCATTAGTTGATTAGTGACTATCAGTAGGATTCAGAAAATTTATTTTGTACTATTTGAAATTTATCATGTGCATGCAATTACATCGTGACGTATAGATCTACTGGAATAACTCTCTGTTGTGTAAAGCCATTGTGTACTGGGTTCAATTATCAATGTTAATTTCAACAATGGGCTGCAAATACATAGGGCTAGTGAGTACAAAGTTAAACGGAATGCGCTTACTAAATTTCGTTACTAGCTGCTCTTGAAGATATAACCAAACGAGCTGATGTATTACCTTTTTTATTAGTATTTGATTCCAAAATAAACTGTTTATTAATCATTGACGCAGAAAAGAAATTATTTCTATCACTATATATTTATTAATTATTATAATAGTGAAAACTTTGACAAATGGTCACGTTCAACAACACAGTTGTCAATATTAGTTCCATATATATGGTGTCAGTGCATTATATATATATAACGTTACAAGTGGAACTGGCGTAATAGATGTGTTTATTTTTTGTATGTGATAGCACAATAATAAGTTTTCAATTTTCTAGAAATCATCAACAGGGATCCGTAAATCGTCCTTCTTCTTCGTACGTTATTAGCATTCTGTTTACACGAGAGAAAAAAAGTTTCTGTTCGATAGTATCTTAGCAGATAATTTTTTAGGGTTTGAAATAATAGATACTAGGCTTGCGTCACACCTGTAGGGGATGTATGTGAAATTATGAATGCACTTTTGAATCGCAATCCAAATGATTTATCTAACAATTATCATAACGTTCCGCAGTAGCTTAGGTACGTGTCCAGTAAATGTATCTTTTATAAACAACATTTTTTTACCGATAAATATCAAGAATTTCAAATGCATTAAGATTGTAATACATCTTTTATAAATATGATAACATTTGAATGCTTCCCAAAAACGAACATGCTTTAATTTCTTAAAATATTTTTAGTTTATTTCCTATAGTTACATAATCTGACAAATTTTATTGGTAATACATCTGGCTATTGAATGCTTCCTACTTATTTACTAGCCGCCTTTTGTATCACCTAAACACTCCTAGGTTTAAGCCCCAATACGGTAGACCTAAGATGTGAATTAAGAATAGATGCTTTACTTCAAGCTTTTTTTTATATAGAGAAAACAATATTAATTATGGGTTTATTGATAATATTTAAACTGTAAACAAAATCCTGAAAATATGCCATATATATATAGAGTACTGGTTCTGTCAGGAAATGTGAACAGGGAATAATCAAGATGACGTAATAGAACGATTATAATGTTAGATTACGTAATATGAATAATAACAATATACTTAATAAGTTAGTAACGAATTATAACGTGAATGTAGTAAGATAATTAAAGTGTTTTTATTACAAAAATTATAGGTAATTTAAGGTTATAGAGATGAGAAATAAACGAAGTGATATCATGAGCAATTACGAATAAAATAATGAGAATATGAGACATAAGTAAAGGGAGAAATTCAGTAATAATAATGTTAAATTAAGGCCAAGGTAGCGGTAAAAATAGGCCGTACTTATTTTGTATGCATAGTTCTGGCTTGAGCTCATGGATGGTAAGAGCTTCGACTAATTTTAGGAGTTGGATACGAAGGTCATGTCTTATGTTAATAGCATTTAAATGACACGAGTGATGCTAATGAAGTCATGTTGTTACAATTAATACTGTAATGAACGAGAACTTAACTGTGAGAAAACCAATTTATTATTTAATGTAAAATTATAGAGTGCCTTACATACATTAAATACATTATGTATACATCTTCCTTCAGTTGTCCTTAACACGCTTTATAATTATTTCGATTCTGCTGTTATCCCGATTGTTCTTCCTTTACATTCCTGTTCTATTCAATTCAATCTTCTCAATATTCTGCTGGTAGGCATTCCATTTTGTGCTACATGCTACTTACACCTATCAACATAAGTAGCATAGACCACAGTACTATCATATGAACTAGACAATGCACGGATATACACTACTGGTTATTTCATAGATGATTAATTTTACTTTAAAAATCCTGATCATCATTATAATCAACTTCGGAATATTCCATTGAAACATATTTAAGTTGATAACAGTTTAAAAAATAATTAACTTACAGTTTGCATCGCGGACTGATCTTGACTAGAGCATCATTGACAACTGGACATGCTTCATTCTATTTTGAGACTTTTCACTAGTGAGCATTCATGACTACACCTAAAATTAAACCCAAGGATCTCGAATTTTCGTAGATAACACTCAATCTCTGGACCACCCTGTTGGGATTCAGTGGAGTAAACGTCTGATTTCGACAAGTTTTCGATACTGTGCGGTCATCTTCCATTGGTTGCTGTGAACAACTCTCTCAAATCCTGGTTACGACTTGTTACAGGGTCTGCATGAATCTCAAAGTTACTCATGAATGAGCACATGATTATTTTTGGGATAGTGACTTTTGTGAAGATTGTAGAGTTCTCATCCATGTCATGCGTAAGTCTGTTATTCACTTTAAGAAACGAGAATAGTCGCAAAATATCGAGAGTTGATTAAAATTAGACATTCGCATCATTGGATATTAGATCAGTGGTCTTAAGGTTAATCGTTCATTCGTGGGACCAATTGACTTGTGTTCCGTTCCTCAGTGCGGTTGTGGGTACGTACTTTTGAGGAGTTCCTTACTGAGACAGAACAACCGTCCAGTACTCCTTGGTTGCGAATGATTGTCTAGCTAACATCGATCTGTGATATAACCTATGAAGATGCCAGGATTTCGACAACTTCAACTTTCCTGATTAATTTATACTTGTCTTTACGAGTAAATAATATGACTGTTGCTTAAATCTCGTGTCAAAATGTCTTTGTCCGTTAACTATAAATAAATATATCATTGTATTATGCATGTGGTAAAAATAAATAAAATTTTTAAATAAATTCAATTTCAGTTATTTACTAAAACCGGAGTTTATGAGACGTCCAGAGCGTCAATTTGATCCATTCTCTGAATCTCCAATGGATGGTGTTATTGCAGCTACATGTGAAGTGAAAATTATATCAGGACAATTTTTATCAGATCGTAAAGTTGGCACATATGTTGAAGTAGATATGTATGGTTTACCAACAGATACAATTCGTAAAGAATTTCGTACTCGAGTTGTCCCTAATAATGGATTAAATCCAGTGTATGGAGATGATGCTGTTTTTGTATTTAGAAAAGTGAGTTTATTATGTTAAACTTTTGTATAACGGTATTAGCATAACCGTAGTATTTATAGTAACTGCTGATAGAAAATAAATTATTTGTAAGATAATTAAGATCATTGATCTCTGAATCATTATTCTAAATAAAAATGAAGAAGGACTATATCAGGCCGTTTTTGTTGTTCAATGCTGGGCATTCAACTGTTCGACCTTCTCCAGCTTAGTTTTTTGTTCAATTTTTGTCTCGTTTTAACCAAAATTATGTTAATTGAAATCACAAACCGATCTAAAACAGATAATCAATAAAAACCTGGAAGCACTTTTCTGCCGCTCCGTCCTCTTATGGAACTACTTGGCAGTGCACATCCACGACCCCACGACCTAGAATCAAACCTATGACCTTTGATCTTGAGTGTGAAAACGTAACAGATTCTCAGTTAAAATTTTGATTACAATTACATACATGCAGTCCCACACTACACTCTGTGGGTATATTCCACGTTAAACTATTGATATTCAGGATATCAACCATATTGAACACATGAAAATGCTGAGAGAGTTATTCAGTGTATAGTTGTTATTTATCCTTCATTATTTATTCAAAGAAAATTGAGCTTGATTGAGTTATACATGTGCTGATGCACCAACACCACCTAAGACATAGAATCCTACCAGAAACTTAAGCTGATGGATTTTTATATCAAGTCCAACGTTACTTATTACTGAGTGATTGACTAGTCCAGACGGTTAGATAGCATTGAAACTATTTAGTTTTAACCTGTAAGATCTATCAAAACAGTTTTTTAATATCTTAATTTTAAATAATCGGTTTTCAATTTTCGTATAAATATTTATCCAATTCTATTTGTAATTAGTACAATATCTAAGTAGGTTTTATTTATGCACTATACAATACGATAAACGTTTTAATAAAGTTGTATGTAGTAACACATTATATAGAGATTCTAACATTTTTGGGATTATCACAGTTGTTGAGCAGCTTGCTGGATGTCTGACAAACGACATCTACCGCATGTACATTGATGTAGATGTGCTATCTCTCTACTTGTTGAATCGACTCTCTTTCCTAATAATGGCGGAAAAAGTCTTTTAAAAGTTTAGGACAAGTATAAACTGCTTTTGTGTGAGTAAAAGTGTATAAGGAGCATTAAACACGTTTTATAGAGCCACTGGGTTTTGAATCTCAAACGACCTATAATAATATGGTAACTCATCAATGAAACTTAATGTGGATAGTGTTACAACATAAATAGATTGGAATACGAAAATAAATGATTGAGTTCTGACTACTTGCAATTATTATTAATGGCTTTATTCAATATTATATTTTGGTACAATATACAATTCTCAGGTATCGTGCTCGTTTCAATACTTGAATAGCCTTTTGTTCAGTCTTGAAACAAATCAGAAATCCACATCAATGAATGAACCTCAGTTACAGTAAACGAACTTTAGTGCTTTCCTTGTTTTTTCAGCTTTTCTCCAAATGAAGTCACTTCTTCATGAAAATAGTTTTAATCCCAAGTTTTCAATGAATTGTACGTAATGACATCATTTTCTATGTTTTAACCAACAGTTTAAACGCTTTGGCTATTGAGGTGTTATAATTCTTATACAAAATTTCATTAGAATATTTTATATCTTGCTAATAAGCTTACTGAAAAATGGTGTATACGCCTAAGTACTTTGCGTCCAAGTAGTTCATTTCCTGAGAATTAATGCCAACGTTGCTTTTTACATGTTTGCCATAAATTATTTTTGACTGAAATATTTTTATTTAAACTTTTCTTTATTTAGGTTGTTCTTCCAGATCTTGCCGTGTTACGATTTGCAGTTTATGAAGATACTGGAAAATTAATAGGTCAACGTGTTTTACCATTGGATGGTTTACAAGCTGGTTATCGTCATATATCTCTACGTACTGAAGGCAATTTCCCGCTTTCTTTACCTACTCTGTTTTGTCAAGTATCACTTACAACATATGTTCCTGAAGGATTAAATGATTTAGTTGATGCTTTATCAGATCCTCGTGCGTTTTTAAGTAAAGAAGAACAACGAATGAAACAAGTAAGATTACTAAATATATTATTCATTATTGTTTGAAGATTCAATTTCCTTTACTGTGTGCTGTTAGATTACCGGTTATCTTCAATTTTTATTCTTACTACCCTTCTTCAATCTTGGCTAACCTAACTGTATAATGTATATGAACCATTTTTAAAATTTATGCATTCCGTAACAGTTCATAGATTGTGTTATGTCAGAGCTGTTTATTTGTTTGTCTTAACTTTGTGATTAGACAATATTGTAAATTCTTTATGTATTCTGAGATTTTTTATGCAAATAGGTAATTAAATGAATAAAACTATTTCAAAAATGAAACATAACATCAGTGGTAATAGAATATTGTCTCTTAGTATCACAATTTGACCAAATTTATTGATATGAACTATTAGATTCCGACTCATTAGTCTGGAGTTATACTCCAAAGGTTTTGGGCTTCGTCTTTTAGAGATGTCATCGCTGCCTACTGCTGAAATAAAAATTGAACTAGGATGAAATACCTTTCCATCGTCTCCCTGTCTACAATGATTCTTGAGATAATGAAAAAAAACTTTTGTATGATTCATTAGTTGAGAGTGCTGATTAACGAACCCGATAAGGTTTTAATTCTTTTTATATAGACTGAATTTGTATAAGTTTGTCTTTTCCGAGGTAAAATATATTCTAATTATACAGTACATCACATATATTCAACAAATTCATAACTATGTATAGCTCAGTTATCCTTCATTTAATTGTGTGGATTGGGTCTTGAAGCGCAGTAACACAGTACAGAGTAATTCATTTATTATTTATATCGTTATTGAGGGACGTTTTACGTGAAAAAGTTTAGTAGATTTCTTCCAGTATCTTATCACCATCTTTAGTAATAGGCATCGTTTTCTAATAATCATTTGCAGTGCAGAATATTGTATTTCACTCATTCCACTTCAGATTTATATATCAAATATATTAGTTGAAAACAATCAATATTTGCATGATTTGTGGTTTTGTCTGAAGCACGTAATGAGCATAACTGCTATGAATGTGGTATTAAGTTCAGTGTTAATCGTGTTGATTGATAATGTCGCTTAGAACATTTAAACTTTAACCTTGCTTTCATATACCTATAATCTTGGAGAAGTATTCATTCTATTATGCAACCAAACTGTCAATACAATGATACATTTCCTGCTCGAATAATATCACAAAAACAAAGTTTTCTAACCAAATACAGAATGCTTTTGTTCGTTTGTTTTGTTTACAAAATAAAACCAACTTGATTAATGTTCTGTTGCATAGACTAAATATACGTTCAATCAAAAGTAAGAATAATAGAAAAAGTCACATTGTTTGTTTGAATAATTTTTCTGGTTAGCGTCTTTTTAGCGAGTTAGTTTTCTACGGGGTGGGGACGCTAACCCCACGCCCAACCCTCCTCCTTTATCCGGGTTAATATATATTCTGAAAACTAACTATATTGCAAAATACATTTTAGATTGTTTCAACTTTCACATTTCTTAGTTATTTGTAGTTAACGTTACTTATTTGGACTACGATTATATAATTACGTTCAAAAGCTCTATTCCATAATCCTCCTACCCTATTAATGTGTGATTATTTCTTATGTTTTCTATTCATTTTTTTAAACTAAAGTATGTTGATTACTTCCTTCCCGAAATATAAATTTTCGTTTAGCTCGCCAGTATGGGTATTGATTCATCAGAAATTGCTGATGTACCGTCAACTGGTGGTGGTGGTAACGCTAAACGTGTTGGGGGTGGTGGCGGTGGTGCCGGTGGTGGTAGTAGTAGTGGTCTAGGAGGTACTTCTGGACAATTAAGTGGTTCTATTATGTCTAATATTTCCGGCTCTGGCGAAACTTCAAATGTTTCGTCGAACAGTACTAAAAAAGATGAAAAGAAAGGTAATTGGAGTTTATAGTTACAAGTTGATTTGGTTTTTCTATAGTTGTTTTTTTTGTTTCCATATCAGCGAAGTAAAGTTATGTAATAGACTGTGTTCACATTGTTTTTATTTACGTACACACTTTGTTTAAGTTGTTAGATGTTTATTTAAAGAAAATTTCTCGAATAAAGTTTATAGTTTATCATAGATAAATGTTACTAATATAATAAATTCGATAAACTAAGATTCACTGCACACTAACTCCGAACTCTTTACTTGTTCTCTTGTCGGCTCTCTCTCATACTCTTCGTGTATGACACCTGTGACAAAGTAGACTCAGTGAGAATTGGTGTTAGGTTTCTATATGTATGCAATTCTTTGTAATTGCATTGTGATTTATGGAAATTATTTTATTTGTATAAATGTATGAAAAATTGTAATTAATCAACCTTTATCAATCGAATTCTAATTATCATCAAGTTGTTAATACTACTTATTTACTCACATTTCAACGACAATATGCAGTGGTACCAATGATAGTAGTTTGGATGAAGCTAGATAGTGGCCAATCCGTGTCGTGGCATCAATTTATTAAACCATTGACTGTTTGTCTGAACGTCTGTTAGAAAGTGTTAACCACCTGGTTGTGAAGTCTTATTTGATTTAATATATATTTGTTCTGATATTCACTAGACATACCTGAATTAATTTCTTATGACTTTTGTGTAAAAAAAAAACTTACACGGATGGATATTGTCATTATCTCAATCCCACATACAGAAATACCTAATACTTTAATAAACACGCATGTACTGAACACTGCAGTAGCAAAATGTGATATGTTTCCTACTGAATATATTTTGACAGTGTGTTCACTAATGACAGTAGTTAGCATATTTATATAGTTCTAGGAATAATGACTAGTTAATGTTTTTAAACGCATTGGCCAGTGTCTTAAAGGATATTCCTGCACTGTTAGTCAATGTGATTTTAACTTCTATACAATGAATCAAAGTGACCTGCTATTGTATATGAGGCAATTATTGTCGGTAACGGAATAATTAGATTACAAATTAACATTTAGTCAATATTGCAAATGACTTGAAAGATTTTACTATTGATAAAGTTTCTCATCCAGTTGGAACCCAGGTTCTGTTTCAACATGTAATCAACTATTCATAACAAAAAAACACATGCACTATGTTCATTCCAACAAATACTTCCGGTATTTAAATTTATTCTGTTATTATCCATAAATCAAATAATTGTTTATCAGTAAGAAGTATCACAAAATGATACAGCATTATTTATTGAATAACGCTTTGGATATAAATTAATGTGTATAGTTGTAATACTATTAGTACATACCTTTCCTTTCCATTCTTTAACCCAAGTAAATTAGCAACATAAGGTAATAATTTGATCATGATTTGTCCTCGATTAGAGTAAACAATAATATCGTAGTGCTAATCTGAGCGCACGAGGGCACTATTTTCGACCACATAAAGAACCATGGGCCAAACAATCATTTTATGAGAACAAATGCAAGGATTTACACACCCTATGGAGACCTAAGTAGACGTTTGTTACAGAATAAGGATAATAATTTATAAAACAGACATTAATGAGTTTGTTTTTCTTCCACCTGTTACCGATCACAGCTCATTTTCATCTGACACTAGTCGAAATGCGTTTAGTGTCATAGTACGTTGTTGTATGTAACCTAATAGAAGCCAGTCGTCGAAATTGTCTGTATCTTTAAATATTTCACTTAAGTCCTTCATTTTAGGGTTTTATTGAATTTCAATTCCAAAGTAATCTAGTAGACCTTGATCCATTGCTCTAACTTAAGTGTTTGATCAATTTCTGTGAGTTCTGTAACGAACCTTCGATACTATTGGTCGTGAACGCGTTTCTAAAGTATAAATGTTCATCGAGGGTATCCTATAATTGAAAGTACTATTATGTATTATGATAACCGTTGTTCTCATATCTTATCAGGAAATATATTAAGAAACAAAATGAATGGGCATAGGATCATTAATATTCCTCTTATTAAGAGAAATATTTAATGAATAAGCGATGAAACATGCTATTGATGGTAATAAGAATGATAATAGCAATCAGTTCTTTAAAAATATACAATAAAATTAGGGATTACATTTTGCTTGTGTCAAAATAAGCATGTATTCTTAAAGATCTAAATTTCAGTCATTAGGTGTCACGTCTGAAATATGCAATATTGATAATTAAATACAAATCATGGCTAAAAATATGTCTATTGTAATATCATAGAACAAATTGCATACAAAATATATGACGTAATTGATTGGGAATACACTTAACCATGTTCTACTTTACTTTCCTCTTTGTATTGTTTTCCCCAATATCAACCTTAAATATTTTTTGACATTTATTTTGACAATAATTAATAATAATAAATTGCATCCATAGTGGACTAATCAGTAATTAAAACTGTTTTCGTTTATGATAAAAATATAGTTTACTAATGAAAGTGTGATTATTCCTTACCAATTTAGTCATTGTTGATTTTTTTTTGTTCAACTTACATATATATTTACTTGTATTTAGATGATCCTAAATTTGATCCGATCTCGATCAGTTTATTACAAACGGATAAAATGTATCAAAAATTGATTAAAAAACAGGCAAAAGAATTAGAAATTTTACAGAAACGACAAGAAAAAGATGCTGTCACTATGTTACGCAATCATACACTCATTACAGATAAGCTGAATACAAGCCATGCTAAAGAACGTTCAAGTACAAAACGATCAGTGAATAAGTAAATCAATGTGTTATTTTGTTTTTCATTTTTTCTTGTTATATTAATTGAACATTTTATGTAATTGTACATAGAGATGACAAAATATTGAATTGAAATTATTCATTTATGGTTACAGAACAGGTTCTTATAGTTGAATTATGTTTTTAGAGTAAGCGTAAAATTTTTATAATCAGCTTTACCTTGTCATTAAAATTAGAGAAAACATTAGAAAACTAATCAGTAGCAAAAAATATATAGGAGAATAGTTTGAAGGCGAAATTCAGTGAAAGACGATATGTTTTTAGTGTGTAGATTTTTTCGAAGGGGGTATGGGAGTTCTTGATTTTGGTGTCATCTTACACCATAGTTTCACCTTAGACAAGTACTGGTAAGCTGTTTCGTTTTATTGCGGGACTCGTTGATTTCACCAGTTATCGCTTAGTTGTCAGTCCCATTGGGTTCAGATCAAATGATTTACATTCATAAGTGTGATCGGTTCACGATAATATACAACCATCATTTTTTGGGGATGCATAATGTTTATACCACATCTCACATTTTGAATAAAGTGGCAAACAAATGTTTTAGCAAAGAAACAAGAGCAAAGTCTTATGAGATTCTTTAGGAATATTTATTAGTGCGGGGATAAATGTATGGATCATGTATTACTTCCATTATATGACGTTTTATTGAGGTCTTACACACCAGTTTAGAAAATAAATAATTACGTTCTCATTATTTCTGCCTACATATATCATTAGTAAAGTGTTGAAGTCGATTCTTTTTTTGACATTCGACCACGTACTGTACATTGATGTTAACTCGCTATTGAAAAATTACTATTTCAGAGACATAAAAGCGGGAATCTTTAAACCGTTTTAAAAAGTGGCTCTAAAGAGAACTATGTCACGTTCTCTTCATTCTATAGCCGTCCTGGACAAAACATTAAGCATTTTTCTATTAGATCTGATGTCTATCTGGGCTTCATTAATGCCTCAGATGCTACCAACTGATAGAGCAGGATTCCCTCCTAGCTACCCTTCTATATACCGTCAGTTCCTACAATATCCTTTAAATAGCAAGCTGTGATTTTCTAATCTTGTGTGCTGAAAAATAGTTCTACATTTGACCGTCTGTCCCACTCCTAATCTATGTCTTCAGCTCCGAACTTGATTAGTTATGCAAATCATTGGATTAGATCCAGAATGAGGTGATTAATACCAACATTCATAAATTTCAAAACCACCACAAAACACCTGTTCAATGTTCCTTGATTTTTAATATTATTTTAGTTCTGTGTTACTATGTGATAAAGATTATACATAAATTCGACTAATCTTCACAAACAATGCATAAACAATTTTCCTATTCTACTATAATATATATTTGTTTTAAGGAAATCTTTACTCAATAATCATTAAATAACTCAACTGCTTTCTAGATTCGATGATTATTTTGTTAAGTTTTCAAGTTATTCGATTTTCTTTTGTGGCTGTTGACAATTTAACAAACAAGAAACAACTTCTAGTTTATCGACTACTTATTTCCGGTTTTTTTTCTCTTGGAAAAGTTTATTAGTTTATTGAATTGAATAGACCCAACTAATTTATGAAATAGTCTGTTCCCTTTACATTAATTATACACTTTAATCATAGATTGAGATTAGCTAGAATCACTATTGAAACGTAAAATATAAGTGGGATAACTGTTTCATTGCTTAGTCTCTGTCAATGAAATCTTTTTCAATAAAACTATTGACTTAACATTATTTTTGATCCAATATTGATTATATAAGTGAGTATAGGAAACATGTATATACATAACATTTGAATTTTTCTGCAGAATTTAGTTGTATACTGACTCAAAACATACAATTCTTAATATATATATATATATATATATTCTGGTTGGTCAGCAGATTATATGATATGGAAGCATTCCCATTGTATGTGTATATATTTCTTGTTCTTCGGCTGTAATAAACTTGGTGTAATAATTTTTTAAAATTTAGCTATAATCATAATATTTGAATGCACTTAAAAGATCTTAATTATATGAATAAAAATATGAACAATGAATAAACATGATGCCTTTTTTCACTTGGATGTTTTGTGGTCGTTACATAACCCTGTATTAATTATTCATTTAAAATATAATCATCGAGCATTTCAATATGTGAATACAAAGTCCATATTTCCAACCGCATATTATATATATGAACATACTTGATATTGTAAATCCTGATAATGAATTCGTTGAGAAATCTTTTTTTTGTTGAATTTCGTGTGTGTTTTCCTAAATGCTTTAATTGAACTTCTAAACTTACTTACTGTAGTTGAATATAAAAAAACATGTTTAAGAATGTATTTTGCAAATTGATCCCTAACCAACTAATTGGTTTTTTAAACAATTAAGAATTTCTTTCATATGGGATTCTTTCTCACTTTTCTCACTACTTTTTTTCGTCAGTCTAGTCAAAATAGCGGGTTGACAGCAAAGCGTAAATCATTTGGCTTCTCTTTTTCATTATAGAGCCTGACGTAAACTCTGTGTCGACATTAGTCATCACTTTTTGTGCCAATACAGCGAGAATAGTAATAAACAATTTTCTTTTAAAAAATCGTTATTTACGAATAATAATGATATCAATAATAATGGGCAACTAATCATATTATATGTAATTTTGAATGCAATGATCAACAACAGTAGTATCAATGAAAGTAGAACTAATTTAGTGTATTCCAATAGATAATTTAATGTTTAAGTGTTAGCATTAAAAAAGAAACTTATTTGTATTACACATACTACCAGGTTTAAGTTAAATAAACCAGAATTAGTTTGATGCTTCAAAAGTCAAAAATCTAAATGCTTCTACTATTGAAAATTCATTGATTACTAATATCAACGTTCTCTATCATATTAGCCAAACTTATCTGTTCATCCTCTATATAGGATATTTTCATAGATTGCTTGGTAACTTTCAAATGTAATGCCTATCAACCACTAATATTTAGTAACTTTGTATATTGTATATAAAGCAAAACATTTCCTAACCATGGGCATTTACATTTATACTAGTTAATTTAACTGTATTTACGTAATCAAATATATTTTTCTTCGTTCAATACCTGATAAGTAACAGTTAATTGTACATTACTTTAAAATGTCATGGTAGGAATCAATCATACAAAGCTTTCTTTGATTAACATATAATATTATTTTCATTTGTTACCATTCATTCAACAGTTTAATCATTAATTTATACATGTAATTTGATGAACAATAAATTACAACTTTGTGATTCATGGTAACATGGGCAACAACTGATGGAAAATCCTTTTTAGGATTGATTCTGTCCGATGTTATGAGTGTTCATTGAATAATAGGCCTTAACTTTGATGGGATATAACTACTCAGTGCATATCGAGTTTTAACTAATGTTCATCTAATATTAGCTTATAATGAAAACTATTTTCAGAATAAGTATAATCATAGAATATTTCAAACTCATTTTTTTTAATAAAGTGTCGCAACTTGGAAAACTACAATTGTTAAAATTATTTCTTCATAATTATTACTAAAAGCATTAGTTGTCGTTCATTTTTATATTTATTGGTTGCATGAATATTCCCTTTGATGCTAAGAATTGTAATTGGTCAGTCTCTTTTGACATATGTGCATCCTGTACAAATTATGTTAGCTGGGTTGTAGGTAGTCGACAGGAAATCCTACCCGGGCTAGGCGTATTTGTAATTTTGATAGGATTAATATTCTTTGGTGGATTCGAATCCACAACATCCAGCTCCACTGACTAAAATGTCATCACTGAGCTGTTCAGGTCGTGACTAATCTCCTGTTTGATAGAGTTATTTTTCATAGGTTGGTTACCTCTCAGTGATCAACCACTTATAAAAATGTTTTTATTGATCTAGAATAGATGGAAAGCAGTCATTACTGGATCTGATAATGCGCTTTCCGTTCTATTTGCGAATTATCGGTTGAATTTACCTGTATCCCAGAGTTGATGTTTGCTCCAGTACTCAAACCCATTAATGTTCGCTTTAAGTGCGTTTCTCACTTAGCTACTGAGTCTAGATAGCCAGTCACTTTTCAACAAGTATGAGTTTTAATTCAATTTGAATTGACTTGGATTGTTCAACTGTTGATATTGTGATTAAAATTTAATCAGCTTTAGTTGGCATATGGCCATCTTGTGGCCATTACCTCAATAAAGCCATTATGACACAAGTCAACATTATAATAATAAATAAAATGTGGCTAGTAGTGGCTGTCTGGCTACCTGCACTCAATAGCTAGATCGATAACGTGTTAACATTCAAAGCAAACGATACTGGGTTAGAGTCCTGGAGTAAACATCATTTCTAGGATACAAGTACATCCAATTAATAACTCTCAAACAGGACAAAACACACATCCTAGATTTTACTACTAGTCACATTCTATCTATTCAATGTTGACTTGTGTCATAATGACTTTATTAAAATATTGGGCACAAGATGACCATATTACTAACCAAGGCTGATCAAATTTCAATCAAAATATCAACAACTGAATAATCAATGTCATTATAAATTAGATTATTTATCACATAATCTTATTACTAGTAACATTATTATTGTCTTTTTATTTCATATCCCAGATAAATGTGTCAACGCATAATATAATTTTATTCTAGGTAATATAATAAACATTGAACATTAGATGAATCTAATGTTGATTGTTGTTGTTGTTTTTGTCTATGTGTCTTATTTTATGTACATTGGTATATTATTGCGTGCTTAGAACAAATGATTTCAGATTTATTTATTCATTTACTGCTTTTTTTTAATTATTTTTTGTTCCACTTGATGATCATTTTTAATGTTTACGTGTGTGTGTGTGTTTGTTTGTTTTTTTTCTCCCTCTCATTATTTTGATAAAATAAATTATTATCACACATTATTATTATTATTATTCGTAAGCTGGTGAGAAAATAAAATCGTTTCTTCTTTTTTTCT